AGACCATTTCCGGCTTTGTTTTATTTATTTTGCAAAGATGTCTCTGATTGTCCTGAAACGATGGTGTACAGTTATTCCGTGAAGTTCTGTAACTACTCCTGCCGCTCGCTGAGTGAGCTTGATCGCCTGTGTAGTGTCAAGAGCATTCCTATGGAGGGCTGTGGTTGCCCTGAGGGGACTTACCTAAATGCAGATGAGCACTGTGTGCTTCCAGAGAACTGTCCATGCTACTATAAAGGCCAAATCATTGAAGTGGAGAAATCCTTCCAAGAGGACGAAATGATGTGGTATGTTGATTCTGATGAGGTAATGATTGCATCATAGCTGCACTGAAATGTTATACGCACTGTTGTTTGTGCAAGTAATACTTGCTGAATAAATTTGTATCATACAAGGGGACAATGGTATTTTTTTTCCATGTGATAATACTGGCGCAGGCTTCAGTACCACTGAATGGAGCAGCACTTCAGAGCAGTGGCATAACTAAGATTGGGCACCTGAGACAATCTCCTGGGCACCAACTTGGAAGGGGCTGGAAAATTAACAGATGCCACTGCAGCTGCATAATTGTGCTGCCAACAAGGCAGGAGCTGCAATTCGGCACTGCTTCCATGAATCGCAGCTGTCCCAGGCACCTAGCTGCCTTGCTACTTCTCTGCCTCGGGTGTAAAGCCAGGTACTGCAGCAGTGGACAAGAGGTTTCTAAAAAAGAAGGTGGGAACCACACATCAATACCAGGAGTGAGAAGGAATATTAATGGCTGTAGGCAGAAGTGAAGGGTATGGAGGTATTAAGAGGTAATAAGAGAAAGGAGGTAATAAGAGGTCAAAAGGGAGGGAAGACGGGCTAGCTGAGTTGAAAAAGTGGAGTTAGTAGGCACATGGAAAAAGGGAATCATTAATGAGGTACAGAAAAAGCAATGTTAAATGGTAGGAGTGAAAGTGGATATGGCAAGGGACTGGTAGCTTTATAGTTTGGTCTCAGATATCTTACTCATAGGGCATGTACAGACCTCATACATGGGCTCATATATGCCCTAATGAGCCTTAAAAATGTCTAACGTGCCTTAAATCAGCACATGTAGATATGCCCATATACTATTAGACTTTATTGATAGTCCCCTTTCAACATACAGTTTTGCAATAAACATCAGAAATAAAATTTTATTGTGGAACAAAATTGATTGTTGTCACAATGTCCCTTTTCGGTGTGAAAACCTATGAACAGAAACATTTTATTTCTTCCAAAAAGGAAGATTGTAAGACAAAAACAGTTTTGGGGGAGCACAAACTTCAGTTTTGAAAAACGGACATTTGAGAAATTCTAACACATGGTAAAAATAAAATGTTTTAAATTTCAAGTGAAAAATAATGGGCATTTTCAACCAACTGAGTGCATCACTGGATTATAACAATTTGCTCTTTATATAATCCCTTTTATTCAAGGATCTCAAAGTACTTTGAAAACATTAATTTTGTATCCCAGTGCCCTTGAGTCATTTTACAGATAAGGAGAAAAATTAAATGAATTGAACTGAATTGCTTAATGATGCACAAGTCAGTGGAAAAGGAGAGGATAGAGCATAAATCTTGTGCGTCTTACTTCCCTCACCTTCTGTCTGTGGTGACAATTCTGTTTCAGAACATGAGAAACTTTATGACCCCTTCATGCTGGTGTGACAACTTTAGACAACTTTTGCTTTCTAATACAAATGTGCAAAGAACTGATGTGTTTCTTATTTTATGAAATTTCTTTAGCAAATGCATTCAAGGAAGATTAGACTGCATTGGAGAAACCATGATAGATAAAGGTGAGACTTTATTAAAGTTGGGAATTAAGATGTCCTTTAAAAGTTATTTATTTTCAAAATATTTGTCCCTTTTTAATATGTAGTGCTATTGTATCCACATCCTGGTTCTCCCTGAAATGTGTGAGTTAGAGGTTGGAAGCATAGTAGCTTTTTGGATACATTTTCTTTGTAAAGTATTTCCAAACTTGTTGAACTTAAAAAAAAAAAAATATATATATATATATCCCAAACCTCATAAGATGAAAAAAGTGCTTTTTTCCCCCACTATGCTTTCAGCTTTTTAAGAATGAATCCTTCAGAAATGGAAGTATGGTTCATTTGACTAATGACTTTCTTCATGATGCACTTAGCCTCAGATACGCACTTATCTAGAATTTCTGATGTGCCTCGCACAATGGTGTATTTCTTTGTCTCCCCCAAGAAGGATGTGTGTTCCAATATCACAAATAATTCAATTCTGACAGCATAGTAAGACATGTTCTTTTGTGGGAATTCTTTATTTCATGAAAGAATAAGGGGTTCCATGCTTTCCTGTGCCACACGAGTCTGCTTCATCCCTGTTAGAGACATAATGGGTGAGCAAGGTTCACGGATGGAAAAGTATGTGTTGTTGGGAAAAGGAGGGGCAGCTGCTATTGGTGGGATGCTCCACTCTGTTGTTACATCTGCTAGGCTGCAGATTCCTTCTATATCTTGTGCTACATTAAGCCTAGGAAGAACACAAATATGGACAGAACCAAGGCAGTGAGTAGTAGATATTAAAAGGAAAGGCCCCACACTACAACAATTGGATCCAGAGTTACAACATTATTCCTCTACAGGGTTTCCAAATTATCCCCCACACACATCCCTGTCAGATAGTTTATCTTTAAAAAAATTTCAAAACCATTTTCAGCTCAGATTTACAGCAAGATTTTTCAATGTAAGAAGGGGCAGCTGGAGCCACTGGTGGCAAACTTTCTTGGGGGAAGTAGGAAAAGTTTACTTTGTATATTTTATAATTTAAAGAAAAAGAAAAATATTTAGTAAATCCAATGACAGGGGCAGTGCTTTTGGAAACAAAAAAAAAATCTGTTAGTTTCCCCTTTAGAATCTCAGCTCAAGACTCTATGAAAGAAAATCCCAGAAATACAGCTGGTATGCTCCATAATGCACTTTGAAATGTTTGGTATGGAAAACACTATAAGATGACATCCACATGAGTTTCATCAGCTGACCCTTATGTTATGGCTTTTTCTCTCTTGTAGAGTGCCCTCCTCCTATGTACTACTTCGACTGCACTTCTGCTGGGCCAGGGACCATTGGATCTGAGTGCCAGAAAAGTTGTAAGACACAGGACATGCAGTGTGTAAGGGGTTAAATTCATAGTAGCTAAAAGATGCATGACTAACACTATTCTGCATGTACAACTGTTCTTAACAAATGGTAATGACAGTGCATTACATTGTTTGCAAACAACCTATATTCAGTTATTAACCACAGCTATAACTATCTACTTTTTCATTATGCCTGTCATGACTCATTTTAATGGTTTGCAGCAATCTGACTTGTTGAGTTTTTTTGAAAAAAATCTGCTTTCCTACATGCATAAAATAAATCAATCCACAGAAAACTATAGATCTGTAATATCTATGGCTTCCAAAATAATATAATGGACCCGATTTGTAGATTGTCTTTGGCCTAACTTCTGGTTTGCAGCTGTAGTTTTGCACCCATGGCCAACTGTCTGCGATTTTTCTTTCTCCTACCTGGTTAACTAATATACCACTTTGCATTATTTTTTCATGTTCACAGTATGTCACAGAATGTGTCTCTGGCTGCATATGTCCTGATGGGCTTGTATCTGATGGCAAAGGGGGCTGTATTGCTGAAGACCAGTGTCCATGTGTCCATGGAGGAAGTTTCCATAAGCCAGGGGAAACCATCATAATCGGCTGTAACACGTGGTATAATATTCCACATTCTTTTATTATCACTCACTGTGTCAGAAGGTGATGGCTAGTAAAATGGCTGTTAAAAACAGCAGGGCAAATGATCCAAAAACAAAATAAAAATCAAATGCTCAGCCCCCTGCCCCCACTTCCTCAGAGGTATATGTACGGATGCAAAGTGCATTTTAAAATTAGCCCAGGATCATCATGCTGGCTCCCTTTCAGCACCCCCTTTCCCCACACATTATATAATTCATTTGCATATATAGGGACAAAAGGTGCTAGCTTCTCTTCGTATTATTTTTGGCCTCCTCTGTAAATTGCTCATGTACCTACACATGAAACACTCAGATCCCTGCCTGGTTGAGAGCTAGATTACAGCCAGATGTTTTATGAGTAGTAAAGGTGAAATTGCCAGAGGCTTCTCTCCTAATTCAACATCTGTGCACAGATAGTAGCCAGGGATGCACCTAAGTCTTCACCTACATGTGCGGACTGCTTTCTGCTATACTTGGTGTGGGCTCTGGGCAACCTAAAATGGATGGGAAGCAAGTAGGATTGTGCTTCCTGTTCCATAGTTACAACAGCACCAGTAGGCTATGGGAGAACTTCTGCTATATTGTGGCTCTCTCTGCACTCTTCAGCAGTGCCCCCAGTTTGAACCTACCTGTTGGGTGTAGCTGAGCCTTATAAGAAGAGCTAAACCCCAGTAAGGCTGAATTTGAGGAAATCTGATGTTCTCAGGAAATAACTGCATTTCTGAAGTTGTTGCTGTAGTTTATGTAGCACCTGCTGCCTATGGCTGAGGAAACTGGATGGATGTCTTTGAGGAAACACCTTATATAAAATGTAAAAAAGTCAAATTTGTGCCTCAGTAATACAATTGATAGGAAAGACTTCAACTTAGCTTACCAGTCTAAAACCGGGAATTTGAGGGGTATATGTTTTCTCTAACCAAGTGAAACCAGCTGAAATAAATTAATCTTAAACTCTGAATTATTTAATATCTACCTTGATTTATGTAAGACCATCCATCATGGAAAAATTGTGATCTTTTACATTTTATCTTTTAGCACATGTAACAACAGGCAATGGAACTGTACAGGTAACATCTGCCATGGAGTATGCACAGTGTATGGAAATGGACATTACTGGACTTTTGATGAAGAGAAGTATAATTTCATGGGCGACTGTGATTATATTCTAGCTCAGGTATCAAGGTTTTATTGCCATTCTGAGTCCTGCTGCTTTTCACAGGCTCAAGTCAGTGTTGCCTTGAAGTGCTCAGAAGTCTATCCTATATAAGATAAGAGACACTAAGAAAAGATTCTACCCCTCCACCCCTTCATGGCTGTAAAGGAACCCAGGCCACAGCAGAAGTAGTGAAATTTCCTCAGAAAAAGAATGACAGTCAGTGTTTAAAAGCCCCACAAGCAGTGTTCAGCTCCCTGAGGGTTGCCTCCAGGATATCATGTAATAAGATTCTGAGTGTAGGATATGACTGCACAATCCTCTGCCATGTGGCTTCATTAGTCTGTTGCTTAAGGTATAGTTGGGATATTACAGCTGTAGGATCCACTACAGTCTCACAGCTGGAGCAGGAGCTGAAGGGCAGGAGCTTCCTTTCCAGGAAGAGACCCAAAACAGTTGGGCAGGATTCTGAGCAGAGGACAGTGCAAAGGTATCTCTCAGCGGCCTGAGGGGGAATGACAGAGGCAACTGCCCTGGGTGACAACTTGATGTGTGTGGGAGGAAGCGGGGGTGGTGTAAAATTGCTGCTACTGGTGACTGCCTTTTTGCATTCAGGAACTAGAAGTGATCACTTCTGCTTTGCCCCAGTTGCCCAGCCATGTTGCTGCACTGCTGGTATCTCTACAAGAACATTATACCTATCAGTTTAATACTGGGGCCCAGCCTTACAAGTTTTTGCTAGGACTGTCAAACTAACTGAAAAAAAAATCCTGTTTCAGAAGAGATAATGAGGAAATCAGGGCACCCTTTGTCCTGTGGTGTTTGGAAGAAAAATAATGGCACCAGACTCTGTTTATAATTGAGTATAGATATCTCAATTGTGTGGCTGTGACAGGGGACAATCTCCCAGGCCTGGTCACAGTACTGGCCCACCCACCTGTCTAGGGCAGTCTGCCTGGTCTCTCCTGCCATGCCTTTGTTGTAAGGTAAACTGGTGTTACAATATAAGCGGGAGGCTGCCCATTCAAGACCTTGATGCCTAGAGGTTTACATATGACTCCAACCTTTCCTTATCGTGTTCCAAGCCTTGCAGATGTTATCCTTGAGTTGCTGTTTGCTCCAGCTTGAGGCTGAGCCAAATTCAGCCCCTTGCTCAGCCTTACGCATTCATCCTATCATTCCACCCCAACGGACCTCATTCACACCACCTGCTCCCACTGGGCTTCTAGTACTCCACCCACTCTCACTGGGCCTCTTACTTGCTGCCCCAAACAGGGCCACATTTGACTTGCCCTTTTCCCTTGAGTGGCTCCTGTAGGCCATTAGGCTTGCCTACTCACACTCCTTAGACTGAACTAGGGCCAGTCTTTGGGCCTCTCCTGCGAGTCTCTTCTGAGTGTTGACCAGCCAATTCACCTTGCCCTGGGCAGAGTTCTGACTCAAGCCCCTTGCTGGGTAACTCCTCGTTTGCACCCTCTAATTAGGGCCAATTACTTGCCCTCTCGGTCTCAGGCCCACTGTGGCCTTAGGTATCTGAAGACTTACCTGGACCTAAATGCCCCCTTCCTGGGGCCTCAACACTCTACCCCTTCACCAGGGTAACTACTTTACCCCTGCTCACTGGGGCCCACACTCTGTCCCTATGATGGGGCCTTGGGGTATTATACCTCCTTGGGCTCAGGTGCCTCTCTCATAGGTGGACTTGGGCCCACTATGCTCCGGGGTCTTACACTCCTAGGGGCTCGGGTGCCTCTGTCTAAGCATGCCTGACCCTCCTTCCCTCTGATCTGAATGACCCACTGGATGGTGGGGGCTGGGGTTTTAAGGTGCTTCTACCTGCCTTTCATCAGGGAGGTAACTGGTCTGGCATTTTTGGGGGACTGTCCCACCATGGACAGCCCCACCAGACCACACTTCCTCTGCAGGCTGTAGTTTTTGGTCTTACCCAGAACCAAGCAGACATATCCTGCCCTGGTCTAGTTCCCTCATTAGGGCACCTGGCTGATGTACTTGGGCTCTCTTTCTCATTGGGCCCAACTCTCACTCTGACCCCATTCTGATCTGATAACATCTTGCATGCTCACTGATCCTTGCCCTCTTTGGCTGTGATGTCTCCGCATCGAAGGGACCTTCAGCCTTTGCAGGCTCTGGCCCCACCTCCAGGTCAGTTGGGGTGCCAAAGAGCTCACAGTGGCCCTGGCCTGCCCCTCACATTGGGCTTAATTGCCCTTTGGCCTTGGCCCTCTTGCATTGAGCAGTGTGAGGGATCAGAGACTCAACTTAGCCACTGCTGACACCCATACCCCAGAGAGGGGTCCCTCCTGGATACCACCAGAGAGCCCTCTTCTACTCCTGGGCTTCCCTGGATTCCTTGTAGGCCCACCAGCTGTTAGCCCCATGCCTAGGCTGGGCCTTGTTCTAACTCGGCTGAAATCTTCTTCCTGGGACTCAGGACCCCACTTGTCTATAGGAACCTCCTGCCATCCCTGTAGTTCCTTCCTTACCGCCAAGGATTTTTATGAGCAGCAGCTCAGCTGGATGTTGTTGCTCCTTCAGATGCTTACAGTACACTGCTGCCTCAGCCCAGAGAGCCGGGATCTAAAATGGCCACCTCATGAGGGCTGGCCTGCACTTGCCAGCTGCCTGCTCTCAGGCCTTAAAGTGACAGAGCACTGAAGGAATCTCCCTGCTGCTCACCATGCAGGCTGCTCTGTAGCCTGCAGCAGCACACTACATGGCAAGTACCCTGATTGTGCTCTGCCTCAGTATCCAACCTCACACATGCATATTACTTTTCCTGGTAAATGCCTCTTGTCAGTCCACCCTGCTACACTCCCACAACTCAGCTGGACTCCAAAGCTTATTTTTGAAGAGGTACGAAGGGTTCTAATTTATCCTTGGAGAAACAGCACAGATTCTGGCATACAGATTCTGATACCCTTGCTTATGGGCTATATCTCAACTAGAAAAAATCCTAGGAGACAACCTAAAGTTCACCAGGACTAGCAAATATATGGTTAACGGGCAATATACCCTGAGTACATGGCATTAATTTAGATTTTTTTTTTAAACACAATTTCTTTCTTCATCTCCTCATGGCCTTTTTATATAGTGCTGTGTTGAACCATCACTTCAGTTTGATTCCCCAGTAATAATAATGAGATCTGGCCTTTAAACTGGTTTAATTTATACATTGAATTGTCTGGGTAAAGCTGTATGCAGAACCAGCAAAAATTGGGCTTAGCTTTCTCTTTGAATTTGGTCCTCTATGCCTACTTCCAAATGATTCCAGCCTGATTATAGAGTGTGCTTTGTATTGTGTGTATATTGTTAAATGGTTAACATCCAAGGGCCACATTTATCCTTGGAGTAACTCCACTGACTTCAATACCTAGAGGAAACTGGGATGGCTTTGCTGGATTTGCTGGCAACATTTTTCCATATTTTAACCCTCGTGCCTCTTTGAAAGACATAACTGCTGCTACAGTATAGGTAATTCTACAGACAAAACATTTTTTGTTAGAGATTATTGTAAAATTCAACTTACAGGTAATGAAATGAACAGGATTCAAGGTCCCAATTTTTCAGTCTTCTGTTTTTTGTGAAAATGCTCTGTATAGGAAAAGAAGTCTTAACAAAGGACTCTACTATTTATATTTAGAAATGTAAGTAGGTTTATAAAAATGTTCAGTCTTTCACTTAGCTATGCTTTCTGTTAAAACAGCCATTGACTTAAATAAGCACAATAAAACCAACACTGAGTACTTCAGAAAATTGGAATGCAATGATGATTCAAAAGGTGCAGTCAAATATGAGTCTCATAATTCATTTATGGGAATGTTTAAAACTTATACTTGTCGGATAAAAAGATGTAATATGCTTTTCTTTGTTTTGCTAAGGACTTTTGCCCCAATAACCCTAATGATGGCACCTTCCGAATTGTAACTCAGAACAATGCATGTGGAAAATCACTGTCCATCTGTTCCATGAAGATCACATTGATTCTTGAGGTGTGTCCAAAATCAGTTTTAACTCTGAATTATGTTGGGGGCAGGGTGGTGGCTGGTTAGATGGGATATGGGTAGGAACTTATCAAGTTCATGGCAGAAGTGGGGTGCACTGTGGGTCCTTTAATCTTGCAGGTTCCCTCACAGCCTCCCCCCACTGATTGGTGGAGGGGCCCCACTTGCAGCTTGCACTTGATTAGCAGGGAAGCAAAAACTATGGTTTTAAATATGGCATCGTTTTTGCCTCCTGCCACTGATTGGATGAGGGGCCCTGGATGGCCCTGCTGTTTGCTGCTGACTGGCAGGGAGGCAAAAATGGTGCCATGTTTAAAATTGCTGTTTTAGCTTCGCTGGTGATCAGGAGGGAGTGGCAGTGTCCTCTACTAATCAGCAGTGGAGGACAACGGGGTACTGCTACCGTGACGTAGCAGGGAAATCTAAGTGTGAGCCACCTGTATGGCATAGTATGGGCAGTTACTGCACTGTGTTTTAGTATTTCCAAAAGGAAGAAATAAAGGATGGCACAGTAACAACATTGCTGTATGGTGATGTGTAGATACACTCAGTTTGTAGGTGGGGTAATCAAACCAGGAAGCTTGCACTAGAGATTTCTTTGTTGAAACCAAAAAAGCCAGAAAAACAGAAATGTGTGAGATGAGGCAGCATTTAGAACTGGTCAGAATGGCCAAGGCTTGGCATTTAAGTGGAGTAAGCGAAGGAGACAGCAGCCCATAATAAAAGAATCAATTTGTAGGGATTTAGGGCTGTATGTGGAGGTGGGAGGAATGGTTATATTCAAGTCTCATGGCTTGAACACAGGGCAGGGGCTGCCAGACTGTTGTATCCTCATCACAGAAGGCTCCCTAGCTGCAAAGGAAAGAGCCTCTTCCTCATTGTAGTGTTGTATTTTCTATTCAGTTGTGATTTAATTCTTGTTTTCTTCAGTGCAATCTAATTCCTTGTTCTAGAACAGTGAAATTAGACTCTTGGAGGGGAAAATTCAGGAGATAACCACTGATCTAACAGCTGAAAAGAATTACAAAGTGGATCTCCGAGGAATTTATATTGTGATTGAAACTACCCAGGGAATGACCTTAATGTGGGACCAAAAGACCACAGTGATTGTCCAACTGGCACCATCTTTCCAGGTTGGTAGAAGACTAAGGGTAGAGAGACTGATTCTCCAATTGGGCCTCAGTTTTTAGGAGGAACAATTGTGTGCTAGTGGGCACATTTACATGAAATGCTACATCAAGCATCTACACAAGACTACAATAATGTAGCATTGGTAAGTACAAACTGTGTTGCCAATGCTACTGCACAGTAGGATTGGAAAGCATCCATGCACTGCCGGGACTGAGCAGTAATGGCGATTACTGTGCAGTCATTTAGTACTTGCTTTAGCAAGTACTACAGTTAGTAGTAGTTGTTAGTAACAACTGTACAGTTGGGAGCACATGTAGACATGCCCAGTATTAACCTGGACTCCCAAATTTGCTTTTTATCTGCAATACCTTGCTAAAATATTTTTAATCTGAAAATTATACCCCTTAAAAATAGAATACCAATTTGAAATCCATGCTTTAAAAAAAGAGTGTTTCTCAATCACTGTAATTAAACCAACTTATTGCATTAGTTAAGTTATTGTGATCACATTGGTACTATGAACTATCCAGAGTGTGAAGGAAAGTGTCATGGCGGGGTCCTCCAGGAGGGCCATGATCTCCTTAAGGCCCCCTCTTCTGTGCCAAGTCAGCCCAAGGGCACCCTCGGTTTCTCGCCCGCCACGTCTTTGCTGTTAGATAAGGTTGGGAGGCTACCTCACGTCTTCTTGGACACGGTTCGCTGTGACCTCTGTCCCCTTGGACCCCCGGACCCCTCGTGGGTCTTGTCCTGCAAATGGGTGCCCTGGACACCCTAGCCTTATGGGCTATGCATGGCTCCAACCACCCCGATACCACGCCCCAAGCCTCGCAGTTGGACTAGACGTTGGTCTGTTGAATACACTCGCCCACTCTCTGGGGCCTTCCCTGTACTGCCGCCCGCTCTCTGGGGCCTCCCCTGTACTGCCGCCCGCTCTCTGGGCTCTCCGTGCCCACTCTGGGTCTTCTCTAGAATACTGCCCCTCTCTTGGGGCTCTCTCTCCAATGCTGCCCTTTTCCTAGGGCTCTCTGCGCCCACTCTGGGCCTTCTCTGTAGTGTCAGGGTCCTTCTCGATAAAGCCACCCCTCTCCTGGGGACTTCTGTGCCCACCCTGGGACTTCTCAGGTCAAGCCACCTGTCTCTCGGGCCCACGTTCAACCCACCTGTCTCTCGGGCCCACCGCACTGCTACCCCCTTTCTCTAGGGCTCACCGCACTACTACCCCCTCTCTCCGGGGTTTACCGCGGGGTTCCACCCTTCTCCGGGGTTCACTGCAGTACTATGCCCTTCCTCAGGGGCTCGCCACGCCCATACTGGGGCTTCCTAATAATGTTGCCCCCTCTTTGGGGCTCGCCACGCCCGCACTGGGGCTTCTCAATAACGCTCCTTCTCTGGGGCTCACCACGTCTGCACTGGGGCTTCTCAATAACGCCCCTTTTTGGGGCTGGGGTGTATGCACCCCGGGTGCTGCGCCCGCTGGCGCTGGGATCCCCATGCTACGCTGGGTCCTACATGAGTATGCTGCGCCCTCACTGGCGCTGGGGCCCCCACACCACTGTGGGTCCCTATGAGGCCTCCTCCAACCCCTAATAGCCTCCCCAAACCACCAGTGTAATACATAACAACCACAACGCAAAACACAAGTCCCTAGGCTATAACATAACTATAAGCCGCCTGGCTATAACCACGTTGCTCAGACATCTTAGAGCTGCCTTCTTTTATCTGGCTTGAGCTGTACCTGCGGTTCCCGCATCTTAACTCCAGAAGCTCCTGCCTCTCTGGCTGCTGGCAGGGAACTGCCAGCCTGGCCTCAGCCCTGGGCTTTATGAGGGCCAGGCCCTGCCCCTTCCAGTCAGCTGACCTCCTGGTTGCCCCAGGCAACCCACAGCTGTGCTCCTTATTCCCTGCCAGGGCTCTCTGTCCCTGGCAGTTTCCTCTCTCTAGGAGCAGGGCACCAAGGTGCCCTGCGACAGAAAGCTAGAACAGATTTTAATGCAATAGGGCTTATTGGGCTTTATTTTGTCTCTTATACCACAATTCTTCCAAGGTGTGCACTGCAAGATAAAGAGCTCTAAGGGTTGTTTGGAATTTGCAGAGATTTGGAAGTCATTTACTTTTTTCAGTATAGATTTGATGGAAAAGCAGACCATATTTGAGAACAGGAGGAGCGGCAGGAGAGGTCAGTACTTAATTATAATTTATATTTATTCCATAGGGCAAGGTCTGTGGTCTTTGTGGAGACTTTGACAGCCGCTCAATGAATGACTTTACCACCAGAGGGCAGTCAGTGGAGATGAATGTGCAGGAGTTTGGGAATAGCTGGAAAGTTACTAGTACCTGCACTAATATAAATGTGACTGACCCATGTGCTGATCAGCCTTTCAAGTCTATGCTGGGACAAAAACACTGCAGCATTATTAAGAGTGATATCTTTAGAACTTGCCACAGTAAGGTAATTTCACTCTCTTATTAACTTTAGAGACTTTTCACTTCATAAGGATTCAGTAAATTTAGACCCAGATCCTACTGACTGGGAAGGAAGTTTCATAGACACCCAGGAGAACCCACATCATGATTAGATTAATTCAGCAAAATAGAATGAAGATAGTCAAAGACCCAGAAAATAATTCTTACAGAGGGAAAAAATACCAATTAGCTGAAAACCTTAAAGATAATGTAACCTAGCATAGCCTAAGAATTCTCAGAAAAAATCATCTACATTAACAAGAGGTGGGAGTTAAGATGGCCTTAATTTGGCTTAGTTTAGATCCAGACTGAATTAATCTAAGCTAGGGGTTGGTAACTTTGTACTAATGGTGGGGAAAAATTAACAAAGTGTGGTCCTATGGGAGGCCAGACTACAGTTCCCAACATGCTCCCAGCTCCTCTGGGGTTCTGGTTCCCCCTTCAGTGGGAAGTAAGGTGGGGTGGCGGGGAAGGGCTGAGGCCATGCAAGTCTCACAGACATTCACATGTGTCTTGGAAACTCTGCATGGTCCTAAGCAGCTCTGACTTGCCTGGGCTAGGTCTCCTGGGTGCTCCCGTTGCCCAGCCAGACTGGGAAAGTGTGGGCAGTGGACCAGGCTGTGGAGGGGGGTGGGGGAGGCAGTGGAGAGTCCTTACAGTAGCAGGCACAGGGTGACACCTGGGACCTGGGATTTTTTGGTGTACTTGGCAAGCTGGATAAAATCCCTTCACAGCCAAATCCTCCCTGCAGGCCATAGGTTTCCAAACCCTGATCTAAACCAAATTAAGGCCATTGATATTGTGACTGAAAATATATCCACATAAAGGTTTAAAATAGTTTAATTAATGAAGTTCATAAATTATTTCACCCTAATTTTCCCAAGTATCCCTGAGTAAACATGTCCAAAGACACAAGCAAAATCCAGCCTTGTTCCACTCAGTGGTGTTAGGATTTTGTTTTATATACTTTGAAGTGCTACAGACATTTGGAGGAGTCCTGCCCTATTCAGTCCTATGCTGCACAGCTGAAATTCTAATGGCATGTTCAGCACCTTTATCCTGATTATGTCAAAGAATATGGCACTGAATGGCAGATTACTGAGACCTTTTGTCTCAGCTAAGATAGTTCTGTGAAGGAAGAGCTGTTATAACAGAGTCTTTGTTATCTTACTAGGTTGACCCAATTCCATTTTACGAGTCTTGTGTCTTTGACTTTTGTGGCTGCGACAGTGCAGGAGACTGTGAGTGCTTCTGTACGACAGTTGCTGCTTATTCAAGAAGTTGCAGCAGAGCTGGTGTCTGTATTGACTGGAGGAGTCCTACCATTTGTCGTAAGTACTCACTATGAAAATCATAGAATCATAGGGCGTTTTTACATGTGCTCCAGGGTGGGGAGGGAGGGGACATTTTAATTAGAAAAGCTGTCAGGAGCCACTCTAATGAAAACACAGCATCTCATGTGTTCAGCATCCCACATTTCAAAATGGTGGCAGGGGCACTTTAACTAAAGCTTGTTCAATGAGTTTAGTGAAAGCACACACCCCCCCCCCCCCCCCCCCCCGCCATAACAAGCCCCTTTGTGGTCCAATTACACAATACATGAGATGCTGCAGCACGCTGGAGAGTTCTGATTAGAACACTTGATAAATTGAGTCTGCTCTGACACATTCTAATAAGAACATGGAGGGACTCATGCATAGATACCCATAGAATCATAGAAGCTTAGGGTGGGAAGGGACCTCAGGAGGTCATCTAACCCAGCCCCTTCTCAAGGCAGTACCATTCTCAACTATCATCCCAGCCAAGATTTTGTCTGCCAAGGTCTTGAAAACCTCCAAGGATGGAGATTCCACAATCTCTCTGGGTTGCATGTTCCAGTGTTTGACTCATGAGAAAATTTTTCCTAATATCTAACCTAAACTTCCCTTTCTGCAACTTGAGACCATTGCTCCTTGTTCTGTTACCTGCCACCACTGAGAACAGTCTAGCTCTATCCTCTTTGTAACCACCCTTCACATAATTGATTAGATCCCACCTCAGTCTTCTCTTCTCCAAACTAAATAAGTCCAGTGCCCTCAGCCTCTCCTCAGGAGTCGTGTGCCTCAGCCCATGCACATTATGAAGCTGTTTGCATGCAGACAAGCATATTTCAGATAAGTAGGGCTGTGGGAAGCTTCAGTCCCTGATTCGATTCAGTGGAGATTCGGCCCGATTCAGTGGCTGAATCTGAATTGAATCAGAGGACCCTTTAATCTCTCTGAATTGATTTGGAGAGATTTGGAAAGATTCAGAGATTTGGACATAGACACAGCTTTAAATGTTTTTTCTACATACCTCTAGGTAGCAGGTAGTTTGTGATGGTGGGGTGCATGGAGCATCCCACAGAAGCATGGGAGGCTCCCCAGCACGGTCAGCAGCAGACCCAGAAGAAGACCAGAAGTACTTCTGGTCTGCTTCCAGGTCCACTGGGGAGTGCGCCGGGGGGCCCCCTGTGCCCCCCCCGGCTCAGTGACTGGGTGCCTCCTGGGTCTGAGGGGGGCACCTGGGGTCCCCCTGCAGCCAATTGCTGAGCCGTGTGTGGCCCCCCCCACACACACTCCCCAACAGACCCAGAAGTGGACCAGAATTACTTCTAGTCCACTTCCAGGTTCACTGTTAGGCATGTGAGCCCCCCCACCCCCACCCCCCCGTGCGCCTGTGGGATGCTCCATCTGCCCCAGCATCAGCGATCACGAGCCACGCTGGTACTTTAAGGTACATAGAAAAAACTTTTAAAGGTGTGTCTGTGTCTGAATCACTGATTCTCTGAAATAGCATCGAATCTTCAGATTCGGATTTGGCCGAATCGAATCACAGACAGTGATCCGAATCAATTAATTGTCCCTGATTAGCCTGTCCCTGATTCAGGCTGAATCCAAATCCAAATCAATTAGGGCCCGCTTCACACATCCCTAATAAGAAGGGAAAAATCCTAACTTCTGTACAGGTTCATGACTAAGAATCCTTCAGCTTTTAAGAATTAGAACATTAGAGCAAGTTTCAGTGATCTGAGATTTGGCATTTTATCCTTATCTTCCAGCTGTGTTCTGTGATTACTACAATCCTCCTGACAAACGTGAATGGTATTATAAGCCCTGTGGAGCCACTTGTCTAAAGACCTGCAGAAATCCACAGGGAAAATGTGGTAACACCATGTATAGTTTGGAAGGTAATTCTTATCTGACTTCGATGGACTCTTGTGGGGTCTAAGCTAAACCACACTTGTCTTACGTAATAGAGTTTCTTTCTTCTTTTGGAAGACTGTTCGAGTAATTGCATTGATTTTATGATGTGCAAGCTAGGTAAAAATAGTCTGATTCTTTGGCTGCAGGGGACCCCCAGGTCTTGCAGCAATAGAGTATCATTAATACTATATTTGCAACAATAGAGATAATTCATATTAAGGAAAATAAAAAGGAGAGGATAAATGGTGTATGTAGCTCCCCACTGGTATCCATGAAGACAGAAACCTATCTTTTTAAAGATATTTTAAAAGGGTTCTGTCCTTAGTCTGTGCTAAGCTGACAAGCAATTCTTTCCTTCTGTTCATGTTCCAGGCTGTTACCCAGAATGCAGCCCTGACAAACCATATTTTGATGAGGAACAGAGGGAGTGTGTCTCTCTGCTCAACTGCATGTCTTGGTAGGTCAATGGATGGTAAGAGGGACTATATAAGGTCTATCTATTAGCCAGGTACTATGTTGCCTCAGGTAGTAGGGAAACTTTACATCCTGAGTTCTCACCAAAGGCCTAACAGAATGTGGTTTTTTCAGTTGGGTAGAACTGTGACTTATTTTGGCTATGCTCTGGTGATCTCCTTCATTGGAGGTTGTCAAGAAGAGGATGATACAGGACTTTTTCTGGGATAATGCACAAGTAGCGTACTCTGTATTTGTGCAGGGGGTTGGACTAGATGACCATTGCGGTTCCTTCCAATCCTATGATTGTATCTAGGGCAATAAAACATCAATTATATTTGTTTACTGTTTGTCCACAGCAACCCTGTAGAAGAATTGTGTGCAGAAGACAGCAAAGGTAACTTTCATCATTAATTGTACTATGATCACAACAAATGGCCTCAGAGTGCTAGGCACTGGATATGCATATAGGATATGTCTATGCAGCAGTTACAGATGTGATTGCTGTGCAGTTTAGTCATAGCAAAGCTAATGTTAAACTGCAGCAGCATGGAACTCAGCACAGGTTAACTGCCTGAGTGATTAGTTAGCTTCTCAGGGAGGTTTTGCAGCTTATGCTGAGTTCCGTAATTCTCAAGGTACCCTGCTTGCATGACCGAAACAGGATAGGTTAAAACTCACTTGGGTGTATCTACACAGTGACTTCAGTATAGTTATACACCTCAGTGGGCATGTCTACATGTGCATTAAGGTGATTTTTCTAATGCATGTTAAATTTAGTATCTCCAATGCGAGGTCCTAAAGAAATGTGCATTAGGCTGCCTTAATGTGCAGTAATGAATGCATGTGGTTTTTAAGTGATGTGTAATGTGCAGTAACCTATTTTACTGTGCAATAGCATAATTACACATTTTTAATGTGATGCTTTAATACTCCGTAAAATAGTCTACTGTACATTAAAGCGCATATGTAGGCATACCCAGTATGAGGCAGCTTTTGCCTTGAAGAGTTTATAGACTAAATAGACAGGCTAGGAGCAGACATTACATTTGTCTCTGGACAAGTTGTGCTTATGTTTGTCCTGGAATAGAAAATTGGTTCAATGATGCATTCCCAGGATAATTTTTCAGAGGTACTTTGTGATGTCTTGGGATAAACTGTTAGTATATTTTATCTTATAAACTTTTTTAGGGTTTATCCAGGAACAATGGCCCTGGATGTCCGATTGATTGCACTTTGTCCTAGGATAAAATGGCTTATCCCAGCACAAATGCAGTGTCTGATTGTAGTCACAGAGGCATACATTGACTTGACTGATATATGATACATGTTTTGTGAAAGTGTGGGAATAAAACCTATGTCTCGGAAATGTCAGTCTAGTATTCTATGCCCTGGACCATTTTGCTTCCCTGAGCACGTGTTTGCTGAAGCTGTGAGGGCCTCTTCAAATACATGACCTGGCATTACTAGTTAAATCATCAGTTGATGGACTTTAGGATTCAGTAGACTCCTAGATGGCTACTGTGACATCTAGAGGCTCACTAAGGCAAAGGGGAGTTCCAAACACAGCTCCTGTTTCTGGAAATACCTGTTGTATTCAGGGTATTGGGTTAGAAGAGCATCTGTATGCCACTTATAACTCTGTGCCTTCCAGTGATTCCTTTTATACAAGTTGACTCGTAAAGGAGCCACTCAAGCCAGTTTTGCACTGCCAGTGGGTCCCCGGTTCTAGCACAGAATGAAGTTTGGAATCTAAATGCAATTCTGCAACTAGAATTGGGATAGGACTGTGCAAAGCTTTGGTTGCTGATTAGATTCAGAGGAGATTCAGCCCAATTTGGTGGCCGAATCTCTGAATCCAAATCAAATCGGGAGACCAATAAAAAGGTCCAAATTGATTCAAAGCTCTCCAAATTGATTCAGAAAAGATTTGGAGAGCTTTGGAAATTTTGCTGGTAAGTAGGGAGGGGGAGGGGGGCTGGAGAAGGGGAGGGGACCATGTGGGGCCCCACAAGGCCCCATCCCCTTCCTGCTTCCCCAAGCCCCCCAACCATCCCCTGATCCCCACCTGCTCTCCCCAGCCACCCCCCATGGCTGTCCCCCCGGGCCCCAGCCCCTGGTGTTGTGTTTTTTTTTTTTTTTTAAAGACCCGGGAGCTGGGGCTGGGCAGGGAAGCCATGGTGGGTGGGGACTGGGAGAGCAGGCGGGGGCTGGGGGTCTGTGGCAGAGCCCCCCACACAGCGTGGGGCAGTGGGGAACAGGGAGAATTCCCCCCCACCCCACCTGGCAGCAGCCAGTGTGGGGGCTTATTTTTTTTAAAGAGCCGGGAGTTGGGGCCAGGTTGGGCAGCCATTGATGGGGCTGGGAGAGCAGGCGGGGGATGGGGCCTGTCTGATTCGGAGATTCAGCCAATTCAGCAGTGGCCAAATCTCCAAATCAGATTTAGTTGAATCGATTGGGACAGTGATTCAAATCACTGAATCGAATCACTGTCCTCCGAATCGGCCGAATCCAAATCCAAAGAGAATACTAGTCGCTTCGTACAGGCATAAATTGGGATGAGCTCTGCACTTATCGTGTCATATGCAGGAGCCACATCACACTTGAGCATCTTTTATCTTAGAGTTGATAGTTTGGGGAAGAATTATACCTAATTCAGGGTTATCTTTTATATCTGTTCATAATCATGTGTTTCCTCCTTTCACCGCATTTCCTTCTCATTGTGTCAGAATGCCTCTGCTGCTACCATGAGAAGACCTACACCTTAAATGCAAATATCTACAATAAAACAGAATGGGGGAGATGCAGAACAGCTGTTTGTGGTCCTAATGGAAAGATCATTAGAACATTCATCCCTTGTGAAGTACTGCCTACAACACTACCTGCTATAGAAATGTCAGGTACTAGATTTATATGAGAGCTGTTGTCTTATACTTAGTATAAAAAAAACCCCTTGCAATTGTGACAAAATTTGTCCTCCTTAAAAAAGGTCTTTTGTACAATAATTGTACAGGCCTATGGTCGACACATAATGCAGGAGAGTACAAATTTGAGACATGATGTCAGGTTCTCTGGTCTACAGAACTGAAGAACTAAAGAGATAGAGGCAAAGGTACCTCTATGATATTTTTACAGAACCCCAGTCCTAGGAATCTGGCAAGTTCCCAGTACAATTCAGGGGTATTTATGCCAGCTGCAAACAGTTCCAAATATTTCATGGCTCTAGTGCCACCTTTTTATTCTGAACCTTGTTTTTCTGATATACTTCTCACCTCCTGTCATACTGTCAGGCAATTTGCAGTGGATCACAGTAGCATAGAAATGTATCACTAGCTGTCTCGCACTTTGTGAAAAACTCCATATGTAAGGCACACTAGAAAAAACTCCCATCTCACAAGAAACACTAGGGAGGGGAAAATGAAGCTTCAATATGATTTTGTCAAGGGCTGGTTAATGTTCTGAAAACCAGACTAGCAATGAAAAAATGCGGGGAGGAAAGTAAATATGTTATTCCTCCTTCAATGCAATGAATTATACTTAAATCAGTAACAAAAGATACACTGTAGGGCTGTGCGAGGATTCGGATCCGGAGAAGCTTCGGACACTTTGGCGTCTGAAGCAGCACGTCCAGGTTGAAGTGCTGGCTTTGTCAGGCTTTCCGAGGCAGTTTGGAGCTTCCAAAGTGCTTTGGAAAAGCTTTGGAACTGCCTCAGAGATCTGGCCATAGGATATAATGGGGAATCAATGAAATATCTATAACTGTGTTGTTTTTTGTCTGATTTGGATGAAATTTGCAGGGATTCTATCCTCTGCTGAAAGCATGAAGTCTGTCAAGCTTCAAGAACATTGATACATGGGGTTAGGGGGGACTGCACCCCAAATTCCTGAAAGCAAACCTCGCGTCATGTCTATGTGTTACAACACAGGGGGGTGAAAACTGCAGGGGTGGTAGCCCCTGGTGAGGCCACAAAGCCTGCCATGTTTCAAGAGGATCAGTGGAGGGGTTTGGGGGGAACTGCACCTCAAGCTGCTGACAAGCAAAACACGTGACATAGATGACCCCGTGTGTGTTAAGGTGCAGTGGGCTGAAGACTGCAGGGGTTGTGGCCCCTCATCAGGCCATGAAGCCTGCCAAGTTTCAAGGAGATAAGTGCAGGTGTTTGGGGGAAACTGCACCTCAAGTTGCGGACAAGCAAAACTTGTGACATGGGTGACACTGTGTGTGTTAAGGTGCAGCAGGATGAAAGCTGCAGGGATGGTAGCCCCTGCTGCAGCCATGAAGCCTGACAGCTGTCAAGGAGATAGGTGCAGGGGGGGGTTGGGGCCCTGCACCTCTGGCTGCTGACAGGCAAAACTTGTGACATGGGTGCTTGTGCCACTCTGTCTGTCTTGGGGTGGGGGAGGGGGGTGGAACTACTGCAGGCCTGGCTGCTAAGCTACTGTGTTTTGAATCAATCATGATTCACTCAGGGACCAGTTCAATACACAGTTGCTACCTAATGTAACCAGTTAATTAGTAACAATTAACACTTACAAAACCACAGACTAAGGAGAGGAAAGAATCAATACAGACAATCAACTGCCTCAAGGCAGAGACAGTCTGTTGCACAAGCACCCATGTCATGAGTTTTGCCTGTTAGCAGCTTGAAAACCCCTGCACCCATCTTCTTGAAGCTTGGCAGGCTTTGTGGCCTCACCAGGGGCTACCACCCCTGCAATTTTCATCCACTGTGGTGTAACACATACACGTGACATGAGAGGCTACCACCCCTGCAAGTTTGATCCAAATCAGACAAAAAAACAACAAAGTTATAGATATTTAATTGATTCCCCATTATACCCTATGGCCGGCTCTCCTAGGCAGCTCTAAAGCTTTGGAGACGCTTTGGCCGGATCAAAGCGGGAACCCGGTCCGGAGATCCAGATTGGATCCCTGGCATCTGAAGCAGCTGGATCCGAAGCCAGATTGAATAGCTGCCTACTCACACAGGCCTAATACACTGGGAAAAGCTTAGCTGCATTGCTTAAGTGTTTTGGAAAACACATTTGAAAGGCTAGACAAAGTGCTTAAAAGCCTTTTGCTGTATCTTATTTGTGATGATAACTGTGCCAGGATGCACAATAGGATAATACTTAAGAAAGGAGAAGTTCCAAGACAAAATTTGAAGCACTGTGGTGAAATATGATCTGAATAAAGTGCATCTATTCAACTCAGCAGGGTCCACACCTACAGGGGTCCAGAAACCAGGCATTAGTTCTCCAAAGTCACGGAAGTCAGGTAGGATTCAAGAACATGGGAAAGAGCAAACAGGGATGGGGAGAGCGGGAAGAGGGATGTTTTTGTTTGTTTGTTGTTTTATTTTTTAAGAAAAAGAAAAGGGGGGACCCAAGGAATGGAAAGCTAATGAATTTTATTTCCCTTTATAAGTCTTCAGCTTTTTCAAATTATGGGAATGATATAGAATGTTATAAATGACAAGGGGAATTTAATGTAGCACTTTCAGATCCAAAATAGGGGAGCAAAATATCACCTACTTTCAATTGTTATATGAACAGGAACGACTACAGTAATGCCTCTTACAACATCAGCACCTGCAATACCTGTCCCATGCTTCTGCAATGTAAATGGGGAGCTGATTGCTATAGGTAAGAAGCAATCTAATTGTTTTCATCTGGATCAATTCAGTTTTTTCTGTGACTAAACTGTGAATGTTTTGCAGAACACTTACCAGTAAGGAAGTACTCATTTTTCAGATACCGTAGCTTCATAATAATAATTCTTTGATTTTTTTTCAGAGACACCTATTCTCTTGAATCTGTTTTGTGGTTATTCCATGCCCTTAATAGGGCTACCCCACATTATTGAGAGGCCAGTTTCTGCTCTTTGATATGCATATGCAGTTCCTAGGAAGATACTTCTTTGTGAGCAGAAGAGATGAATGTTGAATGAGTAACAGCCTTCCCTAGTCTCTGTTGTTGGAATGATGTCAGCCATGGCCAAGCTGGTAGACACAGATTAGTTGCAGATTCTCTATGTATGCCAACTGGACATAGTCGCAACTAAGTGTGACTCAGTTCAAGTTAGTAAAATGTGCTGCTCAATCTGTAGCTAGTGTGGGAAGAGTGCTACGCTACAACATGGGAACTGGTAGTTCAAACCAAAGTTCCTGGGAAAGTATGTCAGACTCATGGAATCCTAGCAATTACTTTTCTGGTCTTGCAGGAAGTAACATATCTCAGACAACTAATGCTTCAGATCAGTGTATTTACTCCAAATGTAATGCATCATGCCAGATTGAACGAATCCAGGACAAATGTGTAGGACTAGCGGGAGTGGAATCCCATAGCACCTACACACCTCTTTCAACAACTACAGTGTCTACTTCCCAAATACCTCTTGTGACTGATTGCTTTGATCTTCTTCCTCCAAGAAAGGTGAGTGAGCAAAAATAATGTATCAAAGCACAGATGGGACACAAACGTGATCCCTTAGGGTGATGTGTCTTGGGGCAGGCACCAAACCATATACTCTGGGATCTGGGCAATGGAAAAGCAGATCATTTTTGCATACTACCTGAAACTTCTATATTTCCAGGACCAGGATCTGGCATGGTACAAATGTGAAGTCACAAATTCCCTTTGAAGTAGGTAATACTTAGGGCTGTGCAAGGCTTTGGACTGTGCTCTGGATCTGGAGAAGCTTCAGATGTTTCGGCATCCGAAGTAGCATGTCCAGATTGAAGTGTTGGTTTCTTTAGGCTTTCCAAAGCAGTTCAGAGCTTCCAAGCCACTTCAGAAAAGCTTCGGAGTCGCTTTGGAGATCCGGCCATAGGGTATAACGGGGAATCAATCAAATATCTATAACTTTGTTGTTTTGTGTCCGATTTGGATGAAACTTGCAGGGGTAACATGTTAATTAGCAAGATTAACACCTACAAAACCACAGATCAAGGAGAGGAAATAATCAATACAGACAATCAACTGCTCCAAGACAGTCAGTTGCACGAGCACCCATATCACGATTTTTTCCTGTCAGCAGCTAGGGGGGCAGGGCCCCGGAACAAAGAAGCCCTGTACCGATCTCCTTGACAGCTGGCAGGCATCATGGCCGCAGCAGGGGCTACCATCCCTGCAGCTTTCACCCTGCTGCGCCTTAACACACACAGTGTCACCCATGTCATGAGCTTTGCTTGTCCGCAGCTTGAGGTACAGTTCCCCCCAAATCCCTGCACTGATCTTCTTGAAACTTGGCAGGCTTTGTGGCCTCACCAGGGGCTACCACATTTGCAGTTTTAACCCCCCTGTAGTGTAACGTATACACATGACATGAGTGTTGCTTTCAAGAATTTGGGGTGCAGTTCCCCCCAAACCCATGCGCCAGCTTCTTGAAACTTGGCAGGCTTCATGCACTTAGCAGCAGCTACCATCCCTACAAGTTTCATCCAAAGAAGACAAAAAACAACAAAGTTATAGGTATTTCATTGATTCCCCATTATACCCAGGTTTCTGAAGAAAGTAGAAGTCAGTCAGTAGAATACTGCAAAACCATACAGTAACATAGGACAGGAAGTAAAGACCAGACTATCAACACAAAGCCATTAAAAGGTAGGTGGTATTAGAAGGTAGGTGGGCAGGATGGTATAAGTATTAGGGTTGGAAACCATTCCCTCAGCTAGGATTTTTGAAATTCAGGAGTGGTCATGATCTCAATATTTAATTTGATACAGAATTTTTTTATAGTATAGAAATAGGTCTTGAGGCTTCATTGATGGTTTTTGTTGTGAAGTGTTATGAGATTTTCAGAATTAAAAAACAAAAACAAAACCTCAACAGATAGTAAATACTGCCAGGCTAGTTGTATTACTGAGCTGCCTATGCTCTCTGCCAGTAATTTTCAGAGTACTAGTACGTTCATTTCCCATGCATATTCTCACCTCTTCCTTTTAAATTGTCAACAGTTTAATGAGTCATGGACCTTTGGAAATTGCCAGATTGCCACTTGCTTGGGAGAAGGAAACAATATTAAACTGACCAGTGCGGACTGCCCACTTAGGCAATCAAATCTCTGTGTCAATGGTTTCCCATTCACAAAATACTTTGATGAAACTGGCTGCTGTGAAGTCTTTGAGTGCAAGTGTAAGTAACATGGCAACAAGATTAAAAATTTTGTTAGGTGTTAAAGTGAGCCTCAAGGGAAGTATTGTATTTTACAGTGTACACATCAATATATTGTATAACTCAGCGTACGAGGCACTGGAAGCCCAGGTGGACTTGTAGGGAAGTTGGACTAGGTGCCTTATTGCTTGGGCAGCTGGGCCCAGGGGGTGCCACCACCACAGAGGGAAGGACTGGGTCCCCTCATGCTCAGGGGCTGCCCAGCCTGGTGGCAGCTCACCCGCCAGCTGCTGGTGGGGAGGGGAGGGCAGGGGGCGGGCAGGCTCTGCCAAAAGGAGGATCAGGCTCCTCACTGCTTCTGCCTTAAACAGGTAGGCAGCAGGATGCCTGGCACCACCCAGGAAGGGGCTGCGTCACCCCATGTCAGGCAGGGGTGAGTGGGGATGCTAGGGGTGTCAGGCAGGGCTGGGTGCTGCCTGGGCTTCCAGCACCTCCCACACCATTCCCACTGCCTTCTCCCATTGCTAGTGAACTCTGCCACCCTCCTGCCACCCCCCATACTTCCCATGGGGCAAGGTAGCCCCATCCTTGGGAAGTTGGATTGGGCCCACCAGGCATCCTGTGGGCAGCAGTAGCCTGCTGTAGGCAGAAGCAACAAGGGGTCTGATCCTGCTTTTGGCAGAGTCTGCCCACCTCTGCCATCACCAGAGGACAAGCTGCTGCCATTCTGGGCAGATCCTGAGCTGTGGGGGGGCCCACTCCTTCCCTCTGCAGCAGTGGCATCCCCCAAACTGTCTGTACTCCCAGGGGCCCAATCCAACTTCCCCAGAGCCCACCAGCATGCCACCTCCCTGTGCAGCAGGATGCTGACATGGTGTCCAGTTGAAGTATTGATATGGTGTATAAGTCAAGGTGGAAATTTAAGGGTAAATTTTGGGGGTTCAAACCTCGACTTATACACATAGAAATATGGTACATCCAAATCAGTTCAAATTCTGCTATCCATCATTCTCAGCTTAGTGAGGTCACAATTTGCTTCATATGTAAAGCATGTAAGCTAGGTTGAGTCCTTACTAGAATCAACTGTCTTTAGAAATATGTAGCTTAACACAAGTAACATTCAGAAGATTTTCTAAGGGAGCAAATGCTGTGATGGAAAAAAAATGTCAGAAACAGGGATGTAGCAGAATGGCATGAGAAGAAGGGAGGAAGTGTTGGATGTAGAGATGGGACAATGTCTGTAGGTAAAATAAGGTTTGCCATGATGACATGTGGGATTGCTTAGATGTGGAGATAAATGTGAAAAGGAATAAGAATAATAAATGAGTGGGATAACAAGAGGCTCAGTGGGACAAAGGCGACATAAGGATAGAAAGTGGAAAGGAAAGAAATGGCTATATGCGAGTGAGTTTGGAAAATAGGTTTATAGAAAGTGCTTAGCTATGGGATAAGGGGTATCTATGAGACTGAAATCTTGTCTGCCTTTTTGTAAATGTTTTCTTATGGGCCTATCATAGAAAACATTTTATTTCCATTATGGCAGGGGGTACTTCAAAGGAACTGAAAACCTGGACTGTTATAACATTTATTAACCAGAGGTGAAAGGTCACAAGGAACTCGCACTGTAAAGCCGGCCAAAGAAACAGTGTGGGACAAGATGCAACTTTGTCAGTTGGCAGAGAGATTGGCCATTGCTGACTTAAGGCTTATTCATACATTCAGAAACCCTAAAATAAATCAGCCTTTAAGCTTATCTTTGTTTCTAGGTATTTGTAGCGGGTGGGCAAATGAGCATTATATGACCTTCGATGGAACATATTACAATTTCAAAGGGAATTGCTCCTATGTCCTGGTGAAGCCAATCCAGCCAGATTCCCCAAACTTCTGGATTCACTTGGACAACTACTACTGCAGTGATGTTGATGGAAACATTTGTTCAATGTCACTCTTCATTTTTTATAATGATTCTGTAGTTCTTCTGACACAAGCAGTAGAGCATGGAAAAGAAGGCAACCTGGTAATACATTTTCTATCACCTTTTAAGATTATTCCCATTTATGTTTTTGGCCATGCCAATAGCTCCACCAGGTTTAAGAATAGAGCTAATTTACAGTATAAAACAAAAACCAAACAACAAACAAACAAAAACAGAGGGGGAGGGAGAGAGATTCTGTTTTATTTGGCCTCTTTTGTTTGAAAAAACATTCAGTGAAATGTGCAGGCCTGTGTTTTTTATGATAGAGAAGATCTGTAAAATGTGGGGATTTTAAATATAAAGATTTTGCTTCTTGTTTGTCTTTGCCCTTTTGGTGTTCAGTGGCTTACATCAACATTGTCTGGTGCTCCCCCTCTACTGAAAGATGGCTGCTTTACAAAGGCCATCACTACAACTGGCACTACCCAGGATCATGTGATCTTATTCTCTCACTCCAAATTATGAGTAGCAGCTTCCATTTCAATTGATATAGAGCTAATTTGGGTTCATATGGCAGCAGGTTTGAATTTGCAGCAGAAAACTCCAAAATTGGAAGGACCTGGAGGCTGATGAAGCTAGTCCTTCCAGCGTAGGTAAGGCTGACACACTCTGACAGAGCAAATAAGGGTATTTGCTGTATCACTGCCCATGCTGTCCTTGCCTTCTGAATAAATTGAATAAATGGAGGGATGTCAGTCTGAGGGGCTGTCTGACCTGTTTCAAGAGTCTTGGAATAGCTTAATTTATTTATGATTAGGCGTGTGTCATGTTCCTCAATAATAATAATAATTTGGGCTTTTTTCTATGAAATAAAGGACCTCAAAAGACCACTAAAGTCAGTGCAAATCTTTCCACTGACTTCAGTGAGGTTTGGTTTACTCTTGCCAGAAAGCAATAATTGGTAGGTAAACCATAAGCTGTGTCCTTTAATTCATGGTTTCTTTTCTTGTGATTTATTCCATGGCCGATCAAAAGAAACTTGACCATACATGGAGCAGTGAATGATTCAGAGAAACTGTCTTGTGAAAACTAATCAAATCTGTAGTAAATTGCTGTATCATTTTTACTGCTGATATTTTCTCTGCAGTTAGTAACTCAAATATCTGAAAGCCACATGGAAACTCAGCCAGTTTAAACTTCAAAGGCTTGCACTCAGTGGCCTCAACTACACAAGACACTGATTGCACAGTCGCTGCTGTGCAGTCAATTAGTACTTGCTTATACTTGTTTATACAAGTATGAAATGACTGTGCAGTAACCAGAATTACTACACAGTAGTGCTGCCAAATGGCTTTTTTGTGACACTGACTGTGCAGTAGCATCATGTCACACTTTCTGCCACGTGACGCTACTGCACAGTAGTCACGGGCTACTGCACAGTCAGCATCTCATATAGGCACAGCCAGTATATCTGGAAGAATAATTTGTCCTAGGCATTCCAAAATATAAAGTTTATATTAAGCAACATAACACTTGCTGAACGATTTGGACTCTTTCTTTCATTTAGATTCTGTTCAACAGTAAGAAGATGGTACCAAATTTCTTCAAGAATGGTATCAGGATAACCAGTTCTGGCCTCTACATTATTGTTGAAATACCTGAAATAGGACTTTATGTCTCCTATAGCTATAATGTGTTCTACATAAAACTCCCTTTCAACACCTTTTATAACAATACGGAGGGACAATGTGGTAAGTGTATTCAGGTGTAATTAATGTCTCCAGATTCTTGTTTTTTTCATTTTGGTATAAGATTTATCAGCACTAGATTATAATGTTTTTCTTCCTCTTTGGTGGAGCAGAGAGTGGTAATAGAGAGTTCCAAGTAATCTCTTTTTACTCCCTTCTCCATTTGTGGATGAATGGAGGAATTCAAGAGAAGCAGTATGTATGTATGTATTTATGTATGTATGTATGTGCATGTTTCTTCTCCCTTTTTGCCATCTCCTGATCACATCTGCTCATGAAATGGCTCACATAATCCATTTTAAAAGACAGGAATGTCTCAATTGCTTAAGCAAGTTGGAAGAATTCATTACCTGACACTTTGTGTGTCATCCATAAATGGCAAACTAGCTATTTTAGCTTTTTCCTCCAAGCATCTCCTTTCTGTGAAGTCAATGAAGACCCATTTGTGTTTGATACCTTCCAAGACCAATGAAAATTTTCCACCTGCCTTTATGCAGGTAATTTCCTCTCCAGAAGGAATTCTGGGAAGTCCCTGAGTTCTTCAGCTTTTACATGCCTTTGTTTTATATTGCTGGCAGGTACATGCACCAACGAAAACTCAGATGATGCTAGGAAGAGGAATGGTGAGATTACAGACTTCTTCAGTGAGATGGCATCTGATTGGAGAGTGCCTGATCATACCAAGAGACCTTGTGAATTAAGTATCCCAGAACCCACTCTGACTGAAATAGATCAAGGAGTTTGCCCCCCTTCTGCTCTTTGTGCACTCATCTGGTAAGACACGCTTTCATGAGCATCATATAGATCAGCAGTCAGCAACCCTTCCTGGCTGCAAGCCAGAATGACCCACCTTGGGTCAGAGGTAGGTGCAAGGAGGGAGGGTGGGGGCGGCGGGAATGAGGACCCACTCATGGTTGGTGCTTCTCCCTGCAGCAGCCTGGGGAGGGCACCTGAGCTTAAACCCCCTGCCACTGAAGACTACTGAGGCTCCACATTCACAAGTTGGATTCAGTGCCTCTGTTGGCTAGATCCAGTCTGCAGGTTGTAGGGGTATCTACGCTTGCTCCAGGGTAGGAGGGCATTTTATTTAGAGTGGCTCTTGGGAGTCACTTTTATTAAAATGCCCCCAGCATCTTGTGTATTCAGCATCTTGTGCTTGAAAATGGCAGCTGGGATGTTTTAACTAAAGGTCATTTAATGAGCTGCCATTTTGAAATATGGAAACACTGAAAACACATGATGGCAAGGCTGTTGGAGTGTTTTAATTAGACTCAATTGATTGAGTCTGCTCCAACACGTTCTAATTAGAATGAGTTGGAGCAGGCATCCCACACATGTACAGACACCCCTAGGTTACCAAGCCCTGATATACATGATCAGGCCTAAAAAGAGGCAAGTGTATGCTTCACAGATTGGCTATGAACTGTCTATAAAAGGTAAAATAAATTAATCTAAATTTAGTGATTTATGATCTGAGGCTTAAAACTGCTGATTTTTAATGGTGGATACTGAACAGCTGATTTGTCAAAATCCATCTTCTTTTAAGGCATTTTAAATTTGTTTGCCCAAGATAAATTTTGGAACATTAAAACCAACATTTTTAGGTATCTTATAGTTTTTGTCTGAAGGCTGTAAACTAAAATCACTGCTATAAGTCTATCCTGCAAATTTATTTTCTTAAATAATTTTATTATTTTAAAATAAGATTACTAAATTAAACAAAAAAAAAACAAATATCTGTACCTAGAATTACTGCATTCAGATTGCAAAGAAAACTTTATGATTCAATCCTCTATTGCATAATCCATGGGTAAACCAAGATGCTGTAAATAATATGAGAAAAAGGTCATCATTACTTAAGAGGGACGTATGATTAGTTTCCATTGTGTGCATCTACACATGCAGTTAATGCACCTACATTTTCTACATAGAAAATTCAGGCGCATTAAACTGCACCCCCCGCATGCATCTGAATGTGCTCACATCGTGAGCAAATTTGCTCCCAACCGGAGCAGTACAATCTAGGGATTCTGCTTCTGCTCTGCTCTGCCCCCCTATAACAGCCAGGGGGAGCTCCAGGATCCCCTGTGTGCCAGCCCCAGACTGATAGGGGTCATGGGGGTTAGTCCCAATCCCCACATGCCTGGGAGAGCTGTCCCAGTAGCAAGGCAGCTCCCTGCCAGCTGCTTGGGGATTGGGACCCATGCTGTTCGCCATATGGCTGGGAGAGACACACCCACTGCAAGATTTGCTAGTGGTTCGTATCCAGGAGAACATTTCCCAGTAAAACATTTTAAAGTTGTATATTTAACTTGACAGATTTTTTCCATGGTTTGGTGTGCTTCTGAGCTAAACTTTTGTTATGACATAAAATCCACCATGAAAAACTTGCCTATTGTTATTGTTTACTAAGGAATATGACAGACTGTCACAACGAAGTTCCTCCCCAAGCTTACTATGCAGCTTGCCTCAGAGATGCATGTTCAGCCGGGGGTCAGAGGACCGAATGTTACAGCCTTAAGACCTATGCTGCTTTGTGTGGATTACAAGGGGTTTGTGTTGACTGGAGAAGGAAAACGAATGGAGAGTGTGGTGAGCTGAAGAAGGGTTTTCTGGTCTGGAAGTAATTTTACTCTGCTCCCTTTACTATTACACATATATACTGTGTCTGTGTTGATTTTAGAAGTTACATAGGGCTTGAGTCTTCCCTGAAAGTATAGACAAATTTAATTGCATCCATAGTGATATAAGCTGAAACACTACAATTTACATCTCTATGATTCTGTACTGATACAAGTACAGCAAAACCTTTCCAACTTTTAGCTTGCTCCATTCAGGGCAAATTTAGAAAGATGTACCTATGCCAGTAGTTTTCAACCTTTTTAGACACAAGGCACCCCTCTTAGTTTTCACTCAATATTTGACCACAGAAAAATAATAAAGCAATTTTGCAAAAGACTCAAAAAGACCACAACACATTAGAATGTTTTTACATTATGGATTCCTGTCTGAAATCTCTGGCTTTATCTTGTGATAATATTGTGCAGTACCCTATGGCACCCTTGAAAGGGTCTCAAGGCACCCCAAGGTGCCACAGCACCCTGTTTGAGAATCACTGATCTATCTTGTAACACTACAGGATGATGCCAGAGTAACAGTTACAGCTCAAGAACTGATGGGCGCACCCAAGTGACAGATCCCCATCCACTTTTAAAGCAGCTAAAATGTACATTTGTCCATGTGCTCAGATGCATCAGCAAAGCTGGAATAAAATAATTGATGTCAATGTAGTTATGCCTGTGTGGAACTAATGGAGAAGGGAAAATTAGGTCCATGGCATGTTCTGAATGGTTTAGCACTAGAGCTGATTGAATTTGCAGTCCCAAAATACTGAAAATTGCCAAAAGCTGGAATGGTTTTTCAGTGTTTTGCCTTTCTGATAAAAGAAAGCAAAGATTTTTTTAAGGAAACCTCGGGATGAAAGATGTTGGGTGAAACCTTATGTTTTATCAAAAATCTATTTTTCCATGAACATTTCAACAGGAAAAAATAGCTAGCCCTGTTCATGTTACATTCATGTATATTCAGAATAAACCCACTGATGTTAAGTGGAATTACTTTAGATTTACATCAGTAAAATAGTATGGTATTTGACCTAGTCAATTTTCCTCATCATTTACAATCATCTTGTCCTGCCACTGGCAATATAATGGTACTTGTTCAAAGGTTTATAATAGAATATATACATCATGATCAGAACCTGGGCTACATTTCAGTCTTTCACTAATGTTTTCTAGTTTGTTCATGTCCAGTACAGTTTCATCATTAGGTGGCAATATATATATATACCCTTTCCTTCTGCTTGTTTTCCCTGTGCTTGCCGGAACTGTTGACACAATAGTAAAGGTAGCATGTGTTGTTGCAAATTCATTACTGGAACAATCTGCCCTTATGATCAAAAGTACAATAGAAACCTCTCTTTGGAAACCTTCTCTTTTATGTCTGTGGAATGCACAAAGTGAAATACCCTACCCAGATGTAATTTACATTGTAAGGAGGTAGGCAAAGCAGGACATGCTAATCTCCATATTGTCAATGTTCTACAGAGGCCAGTTGTTCTGGGGACCAGATCTACAAGCCATGTGGGAGAAGAGAAAGAAGAACTTGCTTTAGCAGGTGAGTCATTTCCTAAGCACTAAGGATACAAACCGGTAATTTTTAAAGTATTGAAGGGATTTTCACATTCAAATCCCACTGGAATTCCAGCTCCTTTCAGACAGATTTTTGTTCTTAGTTCTCTCTAAAAGCTGGGCTTGGTGTCACTCATCCCTTCCTATTTATTATATAATTATGCAGCGAAACCATTCCTGGTACCATTCCCTCACAAAGTAAGGCAAAAGTGTTTGTTGAAGGATGTTACTGCCCTGATGGGAAGATCCTGTTGAGAGATTCTGAAGCCATTTGTGTTTCTGTCTGCGGTAAGGAAAAATACAAGTTGGGGGAAAAAAATAAAAATTTGCTCTGAGCAACTGTTATAAGATTCCATAATACAATCCCTTTCAGTCCTCAATGCCCTGCGGCTCAGTATGCTGTATAAATAGAAGCAAGGATTTCAAAGGGTGATATCTTTTATTGGACCAATTATGTAGTTGGAATAAAGTTAGACAAGCTTTTGAATGCAAGACATACTTCCTCAGGTCTTTGTACACTTAGCCTTTAGTTATTGGATGACACTTTCTGACTAGACCAGAAATGCTTCTGAGGCATTTCATCCCTCTAATCTTATCCAGAAAGAAGAACTTTCATTTGGGAAGATGCAAATAAAATCAGTCTCCAAGAACTTTTGGATTCAAATCCCTGTGTTTTGGCCATTGTTCACTGTTTCTTCAGTTCCTTGTCTTAGATCCCAGGGTCTTGTTCTTGATTCGTGTCCCTTTCCCTTTCTCAGCTTCGATAATTTTCTCCAGCATCCTTTTCATTTCCAATAGTTCTAACAATTGTTCTGTTTTACAGCCTGTACTGGACCAGATAGATTAGTGAAACAGGTAAGGAAGGAACAGAGGTAATGATCTTCCAATAACTATTGTGATACGGTAGCCAGATGCTGTGTCCTACTGTAAAAATGATTGCAGAAATATCTCATTCGTTTAATCCCAAATTCAAAACCTGTGTACAATAGAAACAGCAAAGACAAGGGATGGGACTTTTAATTCTGCTACATAGCTGTACTCCTTATGAGAGACACTGAAGCAGAATTGGAAACCTATGAAAGTCTATTGTTTTCTCACTCATTCTTATTTTCCTCCTATTTCCTCACACAAGTTCTGCAGAGGACACAATCAACCACAGCATATTTTACCATAGAACTCTCTGGTCCCTATGAAATTTAGCATCTTTAGTTTCATATGTACCATATTTGCCCAAATCCAAGATGACTTCAAATTTAAGATGATCCCACAATAGATAGATCATAAACATGAGAAATTTATAAATTTGTTAAACATTTCCATCTAATTATTGGAGTGTCATCTTAAATTCACCTTCCCGCTCCCCCCCCCTCCTCCCCCAACTGCAGCACCAGGGAAAGCACTGGCAGGTGAGTCAAAGTCAGCATTCCACACTTCAAAATGATGATAGAGATTCTTTAAATAAAGTATGTTTGATGAGCTTTAGTTAAAAAACCCCACCACCATTTTGAAGTACAGGGACACTGAATACAAATGATGCTGAGGCTGCTGGAGCATTCTAATTAGAATGCTCCGGCAGACTCAATTAATTAATTAATCAAATTTGCTCCGATGTGTTATAGTTAGCATGCATTGGAGCAGGTGTTGGGTACATGTACAGGAGCCGAGAGTCTCTGGCTTATCCCCCACACTCTTTTCTCATTAGTCTATCACTTCCAACTTCCATTCTGTGATCTGTTGCTTCTTTTTTTTGCACAGCCTGGAGAGACCTGGGAACATGATTGTCAGTATTGCACCTGCAATAAGAATACCTTGAAGATTACTTGTTCACATCGATCTTGTCCAAAGTCTCCACCAGTGAACTGCACTATAGAAGGATTTGTACCCAAACCAATACCACATCCAGATGACCCATGCTGCACGGATACAGTGTGTGGTAAGCTTGATGAAAAGCTGGAAGAACTGGGATTATTTATAAAGAGGATGGCACAACATTGTCCTTCATATTCACTATAGACAGGACAATAAGTAATGTATTTAAATTACAAAAAGGGAGATTTATATTAGATACAGGAAGAATTTTCTATTTAGGAAGGTGTTTAAGCACTGGTGTAGTTTACCTAGAGTTTAAGGAATCTTTCTGTCATTCATAGTCTTAAAGAGCAGGTTAGACAAATATAGGTTCATAATGGTTTAAAGAAGGATTAATTTATGTGGAGGGGGATGAATCTGTGTGCCATGCTTTAGACATATATGTTTGCATATGTTGGCATAGTTGGCATATATTGGCTATAATTTAAAGAAGCACCAGGCCATTTGATAAAATATAGTCTAGAAACTAGGCCTGTGTGAAGCAGCTTGTATTCGCCTTAGATTCGGCTGATTTGGGGGAAAATGATTCAATTCGGTAATTCAAATCACTGTCCTGAATTGTTTCGGCTGAATCTGATTCAGAGATTCGGCTGGCGCCAAATCTCTGAATCGCAATCGTATTCAGAGTTTCGGCTCCTGCCGAATCTCCAAATCAGGCAGGTCAGGCCCATCCCCTACCTGCTCTCCCAGCCTGGCACTGGCTGCCCGGCCCGCCCCAGCTCCCGGTTAAAAAAAAACAACTCCGACTCAGCAGGTGCTGCTAGGCAGGGGGTAATCCCCATTGCCCCCCACTGCTCCACGCTGCATGGGGGCTCTGCATGAGCCCCCTGCCCCCCCCTCCCCCTTCCCCAGCACCCCCGCGGCTTTGGCCCTTTAAGAAGAAAACCCCCCAGACTCACCGTTCCTGCCAGCAGGGGGCGATCCCCACTTCCCACCTGCTATGTGGGTGGCTCTTCCATGAGCCCCCCAAAACCCCAAGTTTGCCACAGGAGCTGGTTAATCCTGGGGCTTTTCTTGTTTTTTTTTACCTTAAAGGTCAGGAGCTGGCCTGGGTGGGGCAGCCATGGCAGGGCTGGCGGAGAGGGGGGGTGTCCAGGGGCTCATACAGAGCCCCCCACACAGTGAGGGGCAGTGGGGATCACCCCCCGCCCAGCAGCACCCGGTGAGCACTGGGGCTTTTCTTTAAAGGGGTGGGAGCTGGGGCTGGTGGGGAACCCATGGGGGGCTGGGGAAGAAAGCGAGGGTCAGGAGGAGCTTAGGGATCAGGCTGGGGCTGGGGCTGGGGCTTGCAGGAGCAGCACTGTGGTTCCCTCTTTGAGGGACTGGCTGTCACCTACCCACCCTGAAGTCCTGCAGGAGAAGTGAAAAGGGCTGTTTGGGCCAGACACAAAGACTGAAACCCTTCAGATAAGAGCCTCAGAAATGAAATCTTTCCATCATGAAGAGCAAATATGCCTAATTCCCAGCCCCAGGTATCCTCTGGTAAAACCACTGGTTTATAATGTGAGCAGTGTAAATTGCTCTTCTCAAGGCATTCTAGAGAGAAAGCCACACTTTCTCCTCGTGTGTGTTTTTATTACCTCTTCATGCAGCCCAAGCCATGTTTCTGCACAGATGGGGAGGGATTTAGTGCATCTGGCACAGGATGGAATAGAGAGACCTAACTTCTAGTTCTAGCTTTGCGAATGTCTGTCTGTATGATATGTAGCCCATCACTTTCCCCCTCTGCACAGTTTCTTTTTTGCAAATCACTGGCATTAATTTATATTTTAGTTGGTAATCTCAGATATGAGGCAGAATATAGAACAAGTCTGGATACTGAATGTTTCTTTCATTCCTAGGGGTGAGTCCCATCAATGTTATAAATAAGGTGTATTTACAGAGCACTGAAGGGAAGTTTGCACTGCCAGTCCCCTTTCTGTTCATACTCTGTAAATGAATGGACCAGTAAATGCAGCGTATAAGAGTTTGAGCTAATGTAAGGAAATTATTAGGAGATAATTAGGGTGTGCAAGTCTTTGTACTCATGTAAAATCAGTGGGATAAAAAGGCTTTTTGACACTTTTTTTCTGCATCTCCTGTTTCCAGAATGTGATGTGAAGTCTTGTTCTATCATCAAAAAGGAATGTGACGCAGGCTTTCAGCCAGTAGTAGAGATTTCTGGCTGTTGTCCTATATTTTCTTGTAGTAAGTACCATGACTCCTTATAGTATGTTGTTTTTCATTATTTGAAATGGGACTTTATTTACAGTTTAGTCCCAAGACATATCCACACCCATATGTAGTTGTATAATAATGGGCGATTCTATGATGATGTAGTGCATTGCTACATTGCCATATGGCGCACTACACTGATGTAGCGATCATGTAGGACTACACATAGTGGTGCACTCCCTGGTTATATAACCTGACTTATTATTCAGTTTAAGATTGAAGCAAAAACATATAACTTCATTGGAATGAGTTAAAAATAATTTTCAGGGTTTTGAAATACGAGTTTTATTACCAGGAGCAGCTAACAGCAGAATTGCAGAATAAAGGATTGTTTGATTGGTGGAAAATCATGACCATTAAAAAGAAAAGAGAGTTGTTGACATTTGTGGAATGAAGAATTGAGAAGGGATCAGGTAGATTATAATGAGCCATGATGTCAATTGACTCTGTCAGCGCTGTCTGACTAGAAAAAGCTGCTACCACTGGCAGGCAGTTGGTTTTAAACTCTGGATGGGCCAGGAATCCTAGGGGCATGCAAGTGTACCAGTGCATCCCCCCTGGATCTGCCCCGGTCAATACCAGGCACCATCTTCATGCCCTGTAATCCAGTTTGCTCTTTTATGGTGATCCATAACAATAAAGCAAAGAAGGAAAACTCTGCTAATTTGATTTAAATATACAGGGAGAAAAATAGTTTGTTAAATAGAAAATACTGATGGGTAGAACTTGCACTTCACACACAAAATCAAAATAAACAATAAATGTGGGTTTCAGGATCAGAAGTAGCAAAACAGACAAGCTTTTGGCGATCACAGCTCTCCAACTGTTTGTCTGTCTACTCGAACTATGCAGTTGGTCCAATAAAAGACATTACCCACAAGTATGTTTTTCACCTACTTCCTGGACCGTCACAGCAACAATATCACTTTAACACTAAAAAAACCCACAGTCATTCTATAGTTCCAGTGTTGGGTAAAAGGGCTACTAGCTTCCTTTAGGTCTTTTCTACCTCTTTTGAGGCATGCAAAACTAATACAGAACCTGATAATATTGTTTCCAAAGCCTCTCTTTTGCTTTATCTTTCTTACAGTTCCAAAAGGTGTTTGTGTTCATGAAGGAGTTGAATTTAAGGTAGGAGTTGAATTTAAGTTGCTTCTGTCAATATGCTCATGTGTTGTAACTTTAATATACTATGAATTTGTAATACCAAAATTCCCTTCAAGAAGTAATTTCAAAGAACATAAAAACATGATGAAAATGACATGATTTTTTTTCTCTAAAAGTTCATGCGCAGTTTTTCTTTGAGAAATTATTTAATAATCAACCCAGGAAGCAAATAGATTCCAATATACATGAAACATCCACTTGTATTCAGGTCTAAGTAAAAATGTTGATGTAACAAGAGTATGTACAACAAAATTAAATATCATTGGAAGTTTTGCACATGGCTAATGGTTCAGACAGTTGAAGGCAATAGAATAGTAAATTTATGAAATTATGAAGTAATATTACATAGGGCTTACTTAATACAGGGTGTGTCTACATGTGCATTTGATCCAGGAGCAATTTACTCATGAGTAAACTACTCATGAGTAAAGGCTCCTGGGCAGGTGTCTACACCTGCAGTGTCTTAGAAACAGATTTGCTGCTCATGGCAGCAATCTGCTCCCACCTCCACTGGCCCTACACCAGCCCCCTGCAGCAGCCAGGGGGAACTCAATGCTCCCCCTATCTAAATGCTAACCCAGGGGCTAGCAGGGAGCACTGGGCCAAGAGACAGCTGTCTCCTGGCAATTGCTGGGACATTGCTCTATGACCTTGGGGGGCTGCCTTCTGCTAGGGCAGGGAAAGCATCCTCATTCCCTGGCATCAGGCAGCTCCTGGCCCTGGCTCCCCAATCAGGGGCAATGCTCCCCCTATCTAAATGCTAACCCAGGGGCTAGCAGGGAGCACTGGGCCAAGAGACAGCTGTCTCCTGGCAATTGCTGGGACATTGCTCTATGACCTTGGGGGGCTGCCTTCTGCTAGGGCAGGGAAAGCATCCTCATTCCCTGGCATCAGGCAGCTCCTGGCCCTGGCTCCCCAATCAGGGGCAGCAGACTTAGAAAAATCTGCAGGGGATAAGCAGGTCCCATCCCCCTGCCCTGATCTGCTGGTGGGGTAGCTAGCAGTAAGCCCCCACCCAGCGAGGGCAGATTTCTCCTCCCAGATAGGGGCTTTCTGCTAGCTGCCCCTCTGGTGGATGAGGCAGGGGCTAGGACCTACCCCTGCAGCTCTTTCCAAGCCCTGTGCCTCAGTTACTCGACCAGGGCATGGGGCTGGAACCTGCCCCCAACTGGGACAGTTCTTAGCCCCTGCTCTGTGATCAGGGGGCAGGGTGGAAAGCCTGTTCCCTGCCCAGCTCTGCAATCACAGAGTGGGGTGAGGAGCACAATGGAGAGCCTGTTGACTGCCCAGCTCCACAATTATGAAACTCAGTAGGGAGTAGACTTCCCAGCCCCTGACAGCAGGGACCTTCCATCTCCTGCTCTGTGATCATGGAGTAGGGCCTGGGAGATCTTTATTTCCCAGCACCACCTCCATGGTTGCAGAACCAATGCTAGGAGCTCCTTATCTCCCAGCTCCCCGTGGTCACAGGACGCAGGCTGGGAGATCTTTATCTTTTAGCACCAGCTCTATGCTTTGCTTGGGCCAGGAGATAAGGATCTCCCAGTGCTGGCCCCACAACCACAGAGCTGGAGCTGCAAGATAAGAATCTCCCAGCATAAGCCCTGTGATCACAAATCAGGAGCTGGGAGATCCCTACTGCTGGGACTGAGGACTATTGTCCCTGAAGCATGCAGCTCCCTGGGGCAGGGAGCAATCTCCCACCCTCTGGTGCCCCCTGCTAACCAGCTGACCAGGCGCACATTTGCTCCTGGTCAGGGATCTACACATGCGCTACTGCACAGTTACTAATCTTAAGTAAATTTGCTACTTGCATTTGCAGGTAACAAATTTACTCACAATTAGAGCCAATTACTGTTCAATCAGCGCCTACACATGTAGATGCAGATACTTACTGCACAGTGATTAGCTCTTCTGTACAGTAAAGCATCTCATGTAAATACATCCACTGTGTGGCAGATTAGTGAAATACTATTTTTTTAATACTTTTAGGGCATGTCTACACATGAGGCAAACTGCACAGTTGTTACTGTGCTGTCATTTAATACTTGCTTAACTGGTGTTACTGCACAGTCCCATCACCACACAGTTATTTCTAGATGCCACTGCGCAGTAGCAACAAGCTACTGCACAGTAGCTCATTACTACTGTACAGTAGCATCACCCTCATGGTTTATGTCTGGCAACGCTACAGCACCATAGCAACAATCTATGATGCAGTAGCATCTCATGTAGGCGCACCCATAGTAAGTTAACTAGAGATTGAAAAGTGTTGGTTTCAGGACATACTGCCAAAAATAAATGCCAAGAACCATAATTTATTTATATTACAGAGTAATATAAGTGTATTACAGGGTACTGAACTCTTTCACTCTATTTTTCCCACTTCTATTCTCTCATTTTAAGCCAGGAGCAGTGGTGCCTAAAACTTCTTGTGAAGACTGTGTATGTACTGAAATGCAGGACCCTGCCACACACATAAAACAAATTCAGTGCGTTCCAGTGAAATGTGAAACTGAGTGTCAGCAGGTAAGTCACTTTAACTGTTGCCTTACACTCTGACATTCTGTTAGCTAAACTTCAGGTTCTGAACTATGGTAAGTGAGATAATGAGCCATCTCATCAGTAAAAATGGCACTTTACAGATATAAACAAACTTGCTTCTTCAAGTTAGTGGTTGTTTGTCTCTTGAAAATTTAAAAAACAGTGCCAGAATGATATTCTGGGCAAAGAAATTTCCGATAAAAGTGTGACCACAAAGATAACCTGATTAGAGGCAAAGATGTTTGTGTGATTGCTTTGGAGCTGTCTATTATCACTATTAAGTAAAAAATGGTAGAAAAACTATTCTGAATTGGCCCACGTATAAAGGTCCTGATGAAGGTAAATATTCTAAAAATGAATAGATTATTTGTTTTTAGGTAATGTTTATATTTTATATTACAGGCGTAAGGTTTAATACGCCCTCCCTACCCAAGCCCCCAACCATGTGCTGCTGCTGCTATGTCCTATCATCTTCCTATAACACTTCTAGGTCATAGGTAGGCAGGGCCATGCAACCCCAGGTAAGACAGTGAGGGGCAGTGTGGCCAGATCAGAGCTGTGGGACCAGGAAGGGGGAGAGAAAGTCAGCGGGGAGGTCCATTATGGAGCTGACAAGAGGAGCAGAGCTGACAAGAGTATGGCTGAGAAGTGGACTGGAATGGGGGCCAGCATGGTGTGGTCAGGGGAATCAGAGTGTAAGTAGTGGACCCCTGGAGTGGGGGTAACATCATGTAAGATCATTGCTGTCATCAAACAGGGTTGCCAACCCAAGCATTTTTTTTTTTTTACTGACAACCTGAAAACTTTTATTGTCAACACAAGATTTTTACTATGTTTGTTAAACCCCTAAATTTGAATCTGGCCTTTGGTACTGCTATCCAGGGTCTGGCAGGAAGGGTTACATTTATATTATGTAAAACATATGTCAGTAAAAACACATCAGTAAAAAAGTTGGTTGTCAGTAAAAAAAAAATTAAAAAAAGAATGTTCTTGGATTGGCAACCTTGTAATGTCAGTACCCCAAGGGTTTAGTAAGGCAATGAAACAGATATAATAACCAAGTAGGTATAAGCATCAGGTTTGAAATACCAGGCCTCCATCAATCAGAGATTTTTACAGAAATATAAGCATCGGCTTGTTGGATTTTTCTCCCTCCCAACATTAAAGAGGACAATATGGCTTTTGTCTTAATGCTTTTTGCAGGCAAACCATAACCCATGTGGCGATGCTTTTGTTTCTACAGGGCTTCCGCTACATGCAGCAAAAAGGTGTGTGCTGTGGCCAGTGTGTGCAGGTGGCCTGCATAGGAACTTTTCCATCTGGCACCGTGACCATTGAGGTGCGTGTTCCCTGCCCCACAAAGAATTGTAATGTCACAGTGGACTGTAAACATTTTAATTAGAGCTCATGGTTCATTTCAATAGAGAGTTCTGCTTCAAAACTCGGACCATAGAATGCTGCAGTTTTACCATACCTATTCTGCTGTCAGATTTTATTTATTTAAACTGAGGCTGCAACTACTGATAGAGTGTGCAGAGGAGTCTAATGGAATTTACATAGGCTGGTATCTTAGGAGTTGGTTGTATAGTAGCAAAAGCAAAAAAAGTATAAAAATAGTTATAAAAACTCATCATGTGTTGTAACTTGTTTTCTTGTCCTTATTCAGGTTGGGAAGCACTATAAACATCCAGAGGATAATTGTACTGAGCATATGTGCACAGAGTTATCAGGCCAGTTTGTCCTGACTAGCACAGTAACAACTTGTGCGGAATTTGATCCATTAGACTGCATCCCAGTGAGTATTGCATAGATGGAATATTCTTAAAATTAGCCATCATGCTGTTTAAAAAAATCCCCAGTTCTCGGTTAAAAAAAGTAACCCCAAATCCACACTTTTCTGTTATTTAAATGAAACACCACTATATATATCTTTCTATATTAGTGGTGTTTCATTTAAATCTTGGGAAAATGTGGATTTGGGGTTACTTTTTTAACTGAAAATTAGGGATTTTTTAAAATAAAAGAAAACCAGGATCCCTGCTGATCAGTAACGATATATATATATATCACTGATCAGCAGGGATCCTGGTTTTCTTTGATTTAAAAAAAATCCCCAATTTTCAGTTAAACAAAGTAACCCCAATCCACATTTTTTCATAATTAAAATGAAACATCTCTCTCTCTCTCTCTCTCTCTCTCTCTCTCTCTCTATATATATATATATATATATATGTGATATCTCATTTAAATCACAGAAAAATGTGGATTTGGGGTTACTTTTTAAACCTAAAAATTGGGGATTTTTTTTTAAATTAGAGAAAACCGGGATCCTTGCTGATCAGTAATTTAGTTGTGAGTGCACTTTATAAAGGTTGACAGGGAATACTGGATGTTAAAGGGTGAGGATAGAGGGAGAAATGATGGAGTGAGATTTTCTTCATTCATCTGGCAATATAATTTTTGTTGCTGTGCCACTCTCCATAATTGACTTTCCACCACACCTAAGTTATCACAACTTACCAAAACCAAAAGTGGTCAAGTAAGAAAGAAGCCATAAATAAGCACCTATAGTTACATACCTGGGAAGCACCACAGTATTGGTAATCACTATGCTTTTGGCTAATTGGTGCCTGACTAATCATAAATTGATGACAACAGGAAGACAGTAAGTGTCCGTAACTGGTTTTTCAAAGGTAAGCAGTTTCCAATTGTTTCAATAAGTGATGCACATTATCTGTACTTGTAAAAAATTGGGCTTCATGTGTCTGATCTCAAAACCAAGTAAAAGTTTAGTGGAAAATACCCATTGTCTTAAATCAATTTGAATCAGGCCACATATCAATACATCTTCACTTTACAAAGACAGAAAGCTTAGCCTTCCTGTTGTTGTTGATTTAAGCCAGTGGCAAAATTTCAGGGGGAGTAGCATAAAATCTGGGGTCATAGTATTTCCATCCATCTTACATAGGTCATGGATGGAAATACTAGTTTTGGGGAAAACTCACCCTGTTCCTTGTCAGATTTCTCAGAAAACATCTTACATCACTGGAACAGAAACAGCTTTGTGATTATACATCAATGGATTGATTCTACAGTTTGCAAATTAGAAGTTGCTCATGATAGCTCTAGCTTGGTTAGCAACAGATATATCTAAGCTTAGAATCTAAGCATTTGTGGTACTGTTTGCTTTCACTACAGGGGACTCTTACGACAACTCCAGATGGATGTTGTAAGACATGTGAGTATATTGCATCTAAATATTTGAAAGCTAATCATAGTCAGGATCTCCATTCATTATGCCTGTGACCTGGTGAGCTAGTGAATGCCCTCAAATTTCATTGAAGTCCATAGGCTTTGATGGCTGTAGCATACATCTGCCAGGTTCTTCCAGTGTTGCCATTGGCTAAACCTTCATGTTCTTTTCTCTGTTTATTTTAAAGAACTGAGATAATTTTAGATTAAATGAAGCTCCTGATGGAAGAATAGTGTTAATTTGATAAATAATGTGTTCCAGACTTTATCATCTAAAACAGTGGTGCTCAGTGTTTTGACTCCTGCAGTCTGTGAATGAGTAACTTGGGGTTGGTCCATGGGCCAGACTGGGTTTGAGACCCTGTGCACCGGAATTAGGCCCTGGAACCCTGCACCACCCTCACCAGGCCTGCCAATCCAGGTTTAGGCCCTGGGGCCCATTCTGCATGCCAGGATTGGCCCCTGCACACCAGGATTGGGCCCTGTGCCATCCCTGCACGGCCTCACGCTACCCTGCAGTGCACAGTGCCATGTTATTTGGTGGTGCCTACTGCTGCCAACATTTCTGGACCCATGGGGAGTCCTGTGGGCCAAATGACACAGCTGTGGCAATTCCTAGATCACGATTGTCAAAGTCTGGCCCATAGGCCAGGAGTTGAGTACCTGTGAACTTGAACAGGGGTGTCAAACTCATCTGGCTGCATCAGCCAGCACTTGGGGCCAGTCCAGCCCTGCACACTGCATGCAGCCTGTGAACCGTATCTTTGACACTCCTGGTCTAGGAATTGCACAGGAAGAAGCATGGTGCATTCTCTAGGGCCTACACAGGATTTATAGCCTACATTGGCTGTCACAACCTAACTGTTCTGTGTGTACACTCCATTAGGGATGCAAGTGAGCCTGGAAAAACATGCAGCTGGAGCAGCTTTCAAAGCAGAGCATGAGCTGCAGGTTGGGAGCAGGCAATAGCTGTTACACTGTAGAAACCTGTAGTGGTACAAATGAGCTAAATCAACACAACTTTGAGCCTGGGTGGAACAGAATTGAAGCATTTTTTTCTTCATTTGTATTACTGTTTAGACTCATACACACACAGCAGTTACAGTTGAGTAGCAGCAGCTGATCCTCCCTTTTTGAAGCCCTTCTAAGTGTACTTTTGTCCATACCATTAACCAGTGCAAATTTAGCCCTCAATGAAACAGGGTTAAGTGTTTTGCTGGTATTGCTGTAGGAGCATATGTTTCCACTGTGACAATTTACCCCCAGTATCATTCAGAACTGGAATAAGGATTATGTTTGCCTAGGCCCTGAGGGTAGATATCCTACTTTGCTTCACACACTTAAAATGGCAGTTACAAAGATGCATGGAATTGCTGGGAATGCCTGTGCATGTACTTACCAGAAACAAAATGGAAGAGGAAGAGGACCTTCTTATTTTTAGTCCAATATCTAGCAGTTAAGGCACTCACCCAGGAAATGGGAAGCCCAGGTTCTAGCCCCCACCCTTATCCAGTGAGGCTTCAAACCTATATCACCTGCTTTCTAGCCCAGTACTTGAACCACCAGGAAGTAGAAAATGTAGGGTCAAACGTCCTTTGGGAGAAGAGCCTGTGTTTATTATTACTTGGGTGAGTGCCCTAACCACTAGGCTATTAAGATAAAAGATGGGAAGACCGTCCTCTTCTAGTGCCTAACTCCCTTTAGTCATGGGGTTTGATGGAGCTACAATTTGGCTTTACATGTCTACATGGGTGAGAGTGTATGGTGGATAGCTGGCTCAAGTGCAGCCCTACTGAGCATGTTCAGTAGGCCCGTGATGCTTGTTCTCCTGCTCTGCACCCAGATTAGAATAGCAAGCTATACACAAATGCCCAAAACGACACCTAATGTATCTGGTTAACTGCATGTTAAAGTGAGATAGAATATAGAAGTGTTGTGCCAAATTGGAATGTCAAGCTTTCCTTTGGTACTTGAACTCCAACTGCTTTTAATTAGATAGACTTTGTTTTCATAGTTGACCTCTTTCAGAACATTTTACCTCTTACCTGAGTAAAGTTAATAGATGGAACCCTCCCCACAGGTAAACCTTTGAAACACGACTGCAAACCTACATCAAAAACAGAGACAATTATTCACAACGATTGTAAATCATCGAGACCCATTTCAGTGCCTTCCTGTGAAGGGTTCTGCAGTACGTACTCTGTGTAAGTAAGGAACTGCTTCTCCACCCTTTTGTCCTGTCTTCGCATATCTTTGTTCCAGACCCGGTTATCGCTGCACCATCAAACTCTGCAAGGCTAGTAGCATACTGATTCAATTGTTATTTATTTGCTGAAATGTTAGCATGAAGTAAATATGATTTTCCCACTGATGCTTACAAATAGAAGACACTCCAAATTTCTTCTGCCTTACAGATCTTGGGGGGCTGGAGGAGGGAGCAGCTAATGATAATGAAGAGCAGGAAAGCAATAGTTAGTAGACTGATCACTTAGTTTTATTTTATTAGGTACTCCTTTGATGTCAATAAAATGGTTCACAAATGTACTTGCTGCTATGAAACAAAGAGCCATGAAGTAGAGGTGGAACTGATTTGCTCTGAGAAGAGGAAAATCAAATACACATATATTCATGTGGATGACTGTGGGTGTGTAGAGGCAAAATGCCTAGAGAAAAAAGCATAAACACCCAGTGCTGGAGAAATATTGACTTATTTGTAACACATCCCTTGTAAGTAGTTAAGAATATAGCTGTGAGTGATTGATCTCCTTCTAATGAGTCTTTTTCCCTCCACCTTTGCTTTTGCTTCCAGTAATATGTGCAGTTGTGGAAATTAGTTAAAGGACACTGCTCTAAATGTTTGTCAAATAAAATGCATTTCAAAATGGTCATGTTCTGCTTTTGCAATTACACTGTTTACAGATATGTATAGTAGTAGTGTCTTTCATTGCGAATGACTTTATATGCTGATGAACTTAACAATATCTGTTTTGAACTCCAGATATCCATGGTGCTTTGCAAACACAAGACAAAATCCCTGTCTGGAAAAACTATACATACATTGCAAAACTATACATTTAGGTTGCTTCATTTCCCTTTGGGGTGAAACAGAACATTCCTAGAAGAGATGAAAAAGCAAGGATGAATACTGTCTCCAGTCTTTTCTATGTCCTTGTAACAAGGTATTTACCAGAATTTACAGATTTGTTAGAAATCTGATAGGGCCTCACTGTGAGTATTTCTGCTATGGCCTCGAACTTACAATCTCTGGGCGCTCAACCATATGCCTTGTGGCCCATGCCACCCCAACCCCTGTAGTCTCCAGTTAAAATTGTAAAGGGTAGTGCAGATTGGTAGGATGCAGTTTGGTTGGTACCATGGCTAGAATTCAAACTTTTACAAATACATTAGGAACTCTACATGTCATGAGTGGTCAGGACTTCAATTGTAGACATTATCCAAGACAATCCAGTAACAGTCTCCTAGGGTGTCGTATCTACTGACTGGAAGCACAAAGACTAGTATCACCACTTCCTGCAGCTCCCATGTTTCTAAGAAATTTCACCCCATTCAAATACCACACTGTTATGACTGTACCTAGTTTGTGAGATCTGTTGAGATTAACAAGATGGCAGGACTGCAGATTTTCAAAATGAAATGGACCCATGGTAAACAGCTAGTATACAGTCTTGAATAATCAGGCTGCATTATTTTAACAAGTTGGACCCAAACCTGATTCATAGATTCATAGATGTTAGGGTCAGAAGGGACCTCAGGTCATCGAGTCCGACCCCCCACCCTGGGCAGGAAAGAGCGTTGGGGTCAGATGACCCCAGCTAGGTGATTGTCCAGTCTGCTCTTGAAGACCCCCAAGGTAGGGGAGAGCACCACCTCCCTTGGAAGCCCATTCCAGATTCTGGCAACCCTTACTGTGAAGAAGTTCTTTCTAATGTCTAACCTAAATCTGCTCTCCGTCGATTTGTGGCCATTGTTCCTAATTACTCCAGGGGGTGGCCTAGTAAATAGAGCATCTCCTATTCCCTGCTGCCCTTCCCTGATGAACTAATAGGCAGCCACAAGATCACCTCTCAGCCTTCTCTTGCGAAGGCTGAAGAGATGTAGGTCCCTCAGTCTCTCCTCGTAGAGCCTTGCTTGCAGGCCTTTGACCATACAAGTGGCCTCCTCTGAACCCTCTCAAGATTCTCCGCATCCCTCTTGAAGTTCGGCGCCCAAAACCAGATGCAGTACTCCAACTGTGGTCTGACCAATGCCACATAGAGGGGAAGCATCACCTCCCTGGACCTATGTATCATGTATCTGCTAATGCATGATAAAGTGTGGTTAGCCTTGTTGATCACTTTGTCACATTGACGACTCATGTTTATCTTAGAGTCAACCATGACTCCAAGATCCCTTTCCACTGCTGTGCTGCAGCGAAGGTCATCCCCCAGCCTGTGTTGGTGGTTCTTTTTGCCCAGGTGCAGCACTTTGCACTTGTCTTTCTGACTTGATATCAGTAACTCTGGGGGAATCTCCTGGTAGTGCAGTGTGATCAACAGAGTTCCTGCTCCATCCAGCGTAAATGAGATGGTCAGGGAAAATACATTGCTGAAGCATCTCTTCATCTTGTCAATGCATTGATGTTTTGGCAAGTGCTATAAGGTAGGGCAGACCAGCCGTTTCCCCAGCTTATATGGGCAATTCAGATCAAAGTTAGTGGAATTAGATGATGGTGGGGGGAATTTTCCTTACTCTTCCTAACTGACTTTGTGCAAAGTTGACTAAGCATCAGACCCAAGTCATAGAATAGGAGATATCACTTTTCTATTGCACAGTATTTCAATCATGGCTTTCTGGTGCAGTTTAAAAAAAATAATATTTTATGTATATGCAGCAAAATGATTATTTCCCCACCCTTTTTCACTCTTACCTGACTGAGTTTTATTTAATCAGTACAGTCATAGTTCTAAATAGATTGTATATTAAATTTTAAATAAGTAGGTTCAGTGCTCAGTGATAGACTAAGATATAACCATAACATTATATAATTATTTTATATGCCATGTTACATGTTATACCTATGTTATAAACACTAGATGACTAACTAGTAAATCCTATGGGTCAGAGCAGTTATGCCAAAGTTAAGCAGAGACTATGGCATTAAATTAACCACTAGATGTCACCACTGGGACATCTATTAAGTGTTCAAGCAAGGGAGAAGGATATGATTTTTAGATAGCAGAACATGTGTTACTTGAGCTATCTTAGTTTGCACATAAGCCGTCTAAGGGCCTTGTTGCACATTACACTTAGTATCTGTTGACTGCACTTAAAATGCTAGCATCCAAGCATTCGAGCACTAAAACATGAGCCAAGTGCCATCATAGCGAAGCAAAGTTAAGATTTCCTTGGCGAGAGTATCTTTAGATGTAACGTGTTGAGCTAACATTCGACTGCTCCACAGAGGTGATATAATCAGGTGATATAATCAGGAGATTCTGGTATGGTGTTGAGACTGGGATTGACAAATATTGTTCCCAGTACTCCCACTGCACCAGAGCCAGAGCTGGCCTGTCCTATCCTGCAAAACCTGCGGCCACAGCCCCCACCCTTCCCCCACATTGCTGATGCCGCTGCAGGGGATCCCAAAAATATATTTTGCAGGGGGGCCCAAAAAATTGTGATGACTACAAATAATAGATATTTATTTTCACCTGTAAATGTATACCAATAGGTTAAGTATTGTGGAACATATCTTACATACTGACTCAATTGCTTGGCTTTTCCTAAAGAATAGTTGTAATTTAAACTTCAAAAGGACTCAGCATCCTATTATTCATGAATATTGTTAACTATTTCAATGGATAATTATTAATGATAACATAGTCTAACACTACTAATGCCTTATTGGAAAGGAATATCCAAATATTTTCAAAATGACTTTGTAAATCTGAAGAGTCATTACTTTTAATTTCTTTTAAGTGCTGGAGTTGTGGAATTTCAAGCCACCATACCTATTGTTTAATACAGGTTTTTGATGATGGTAGGTCAATTGAATGTGAACTAACACCTTATGTAGCTATATTTACTGGCATTTTTGTGTCCATCTACACCTGAAGACCAAGGATTTGATCAGGCATAGGATCTGAATGACCTTCTGACTCTGACTCCTCCTGGAAGTGGTTCATCCCATACAGGAGTGAGAAGATCATTGGGACACTCTAAATAATCTTGTTTTATCCCTATAGTGGTTTACACATTGTTTTTATTACATTCCCTTATCTGTAGTCAAGAACTGAATATTCCTACTAATGAAGAAAAGAAGAATACAGTGTGCTGCAGTTATGAAATGCCCTCTATCTAGCTATAATGCTGGTATAGTAACTATGGGCATCTTTACATATGCTTTGGGGTGGGGTGGAGGGGCTTTAATTAGAGTGGCTCTGAGAGCCACTCTAATTAAAGCACCCACAGCGTCATCTGTATTTAGCACCCACACTTCAAAATAGCGACGGGGCACTTTAAGTAAAGCACATTCAATGAGCTTTAGTTAAAGCACTCCCACTGCCATTTGAAGTGCAGGGACACTGAATACATGTGTTGCGGAGGCTTCTGGAGCACCCTAATTAGCATGCTCCAGCAGACTCAATTAATTGAGTCGGCTCTGACACATGCTAAGGAGCATGCATCAGAGCAGATGTCTGACACATATATAGGTTCCTTATAATTCCCTTTTCACTGTATTGTATTTAATTATTCTCTTTGTGTCTCATTGAGTCCTGTCTCTACCAAACAGCTGTGTTCCTGTTCTCTCTCTACAGTAGCACCACTAATAACTTCTTACCACTTTTCATGATGAAACAGTCTAAGACACTGGTAAAAGATTATTCCGTTTCCAGGCTCATTCCATTCTTGGTCTCATTATTCAGTATGACCACTGGATACTGGTAAGTAGGAGCAAAAATTAGGAAAATAAGGGTAAAAAAAATAAGTTATACCTGGCAAGGGAAGTTAAAAACACAAAGAAGGGAATAGCTGGAAGATGTAGCTATTTCTGGCTGTGAGAAAAGGAGATTAAGCAGTGAATGGACTAAAACAATTTCCAATATTTAAAAGCTGATATAAAGCAGAGAGATGCAAAGGACTGGACACAAAGTAATGGTTTTAAATTGCAGCAAAGCAGATGTAGACTAAATGTCAGGGAAAACTTTCTTATTGTCAGAGCAGTAAGGCAGTGGAACAGACTATGCCCTGGGTAGTTGTGAAATCTCTTTCACTGAAGATTTTCAGGAGGAGAGGGGAAAAGCCTTTGATCTGGTATCCCATGATTGCCATGGGGTTAGACTTGATGACATTTGAAGTCCTTTCCAGCCCTCTGATTCTATGAATATGATATAGTGCAGTAGGAAGTCTTTCTGGCAAGTTTGCCTAGAGTGCTTCACTTGTACTTCTTTAGTTCTGAACCATTTCTTATGTGGATGGGATAGTAAGTTAGTTCAGTATTGGGGGCTGTTTAGATCTTGCTGTGCCTGCTTATGTTGCAAGTAAGTGATGTGGCTGACCACATGGAATCAGACTGAGATCAAGTAACATGGCTGCTTACTTGTCACAAAGCAGAGTGATACCGATAAGGAAGAACCAAATGCAAGTGAGTATTCTGGGACAGAGCATGAAGCAGCTGATATTCAGTAACTGTTTTTACATCCACACTTACTGAGTGGTAAGAAGCAGTTCAGCCCTCCAGAAAACAGGGCTAAACTACTATGGCTTCATTTTCACCTGACCATGGGGTAAGAGCGGGCTTATCTTGGTTGAGTGTTCAAACCACTGAGTTATTTTAT